ACCTTTTGGGGTGTTTATCCAACTATGGGTATTTTGCATTATTGATTAATGCGCTGGTTGACACAACAAATCTTAACAAGAGTGAAATGCTACAGCCAGTAAAAATAATTCTAAAATGATGATATTGATTATTCATATTGCTGCTGATACATTTCTACACACATGATTCTGCTGGTATGGTTTATTCTATCACTTCCTGCACATTAGGGGTTATTTATACTGAGTTAATAATGATTTCTACAGTATTTAAATATGTACTTTAATATAGTCCGTTTAGAGTGAAGTGAACACCATATTCATCAGTCAGTTTTCAGTTTCTGTTACTATAGCAGGGACACAGTGTGTTTTTCACAATGTGAGGCTATAGTTGTCTTCAAGTGATTCATATGATTTCCGTATTTTTTCAGTTTAAAAGTATACTTTAATTGTACCTTAATCACTGCACTTCCAAGTCACATTTCTTGCAAGTGATAGTAGTGAAGTATATATATATAAGTAGTTTACTGATTACTATATTCTTATCTTCTTTATTTAGAAATAGTATAGAGTCTTGAGAAGACAATGTCATCTTCATGATGTACGAAAACATTTATTATGTGTAAACATGTTTGGCTCTATTTAACAGCCCCTCAGGACCTATTTTGTTCTAGCTTTTAGTCATCTTTGTATTATTACTAGACTTATTGTCATATATTTTTTAGTTATTGTACCAAATGCTTTAGTATCATCGCAAACGCAACTATATTTCTCCCCTAGACTTTTAGAAAAGAGGTCTACACGTTGGGTAATTTGGTTGTGTCTTTGCCCAAAACCCCCCAAAATAGAGCTTTACAACGATACGACATATTGCAAGAGGGGGGGTAACCGCGCATATTCCTCGTACAGACTCAAAAGAACGTGTACCTTGAAGAAGTAAATCTAATTCCCTCAGTGCCGATTGCGGACCCCAGTTTTCGTCCCCGCGGGAATATTCCGGCAGCGCGCGCGTTGGAGGGATGTCCCGGTGCACGTGGACGCAGGCAGCGCATGGATATTATCTCCAGCATGCCGCTTCGGAAGTAGGTCACCGCTCGCCGATTTGTTCACCATGTCTCCAGCTACCGTGCGCCGTTCGCTCCACAGCCCGACCGGGTAGAAACACGACGGACAGGACCCCCGCCACCCCCCCCGTTTTTCTAGCTTTTTTTGGGCTCATTTTCATTTTTCTTTTTACCCGACGGGACACGCAAAAGGTAACGATCCGCCGCGACTGTTATCGCCGGTCCCAGTTGGTGAGGAGATGATGGGATCGGGATCGGGTTATAGGCTGCTTCTGGTAACTCGGCTGTGACGCTCCCGGCGGCACCGGTACCGACCGGCAGCGCCTGTAACCCCGCATTGATCGACGACGGTCGGCTGTTTTAGACCCGTTTCTCCGCCGTGGAGCTTTTTTTTTCACAGCCCGCTCTCGCTGTCAGATTATAGCGCCGCGTGGCCAAATCTCTCTCTCTCTATATCTATATATATTTATATAATTCGTGCCACAACGCGGCTCCTAATTGCATTTGTCTTCTGTCCCTCGTTATAAGCGAGTGTGTGTGGGTGTGTTTGTGTGACGGAACCTGCATGGAGGTGAAGGGTGGCGTTGGTGGTGTTGGTGGAGGAGGTGCTGCTGGTGGTTGAAGGATTGTCAAACTGCCGATTTGCTCCAGGAAAGTGGACCCGTGTTGATGCGCACTATCAGGAGCAGCACACACGGCTCGGATCCCCGCGAGCTGCAGCCTCGGGGTCTTTTTCTCTCTGTGGTGATGATGACAGCAGCATGTCCGTCCTGTGTGTGACAGCCTCCTCCTCCTCCTCCTCCTCTTCCTCCTCTGTCTCCAGATAGTACTGTACAGGCCGTTCACACGCACAGTTATCAATTCCTAAGCTTTCCATGTGCCCATTATGTCCCATTTTATTTTTAATGGCACAGGATGTTTTTCTGTAATTCTCAGAAAATAGATATCTTTCTTTTCATTTCGGCTTCTAAATAAGGGATGGGGGATTATTTTGAATCCTGGTTTTTTTCTTGGAATACACTTAGTATCCATGGAATTGGTGAATTTAACAAGTCAGAGGATCAATAATATATTCCATCTTTAAAAAAAAAACCTCATAAGTTCCCCTTTCCTTGAGAAATATTCTTCTGCCTTTTCAGAACACTTCAAATAACAGAAACAATCACTCTTTTGCTGACATGCTCACAAGACAACTATTTCGGAAACCATGATCCAACACTGGTTTCCTACCTTTTCCACTTGTGTTGCCTGGAAAACTGCAACTCTCCAGTATTTCACATGGAAGGGGGATTATGCCATTTATAGGAGAAATACGTTTGTGATTATGTCTTCTCCAACTCCTGGGCCCTCAAAAAGAACCTGCGTGTGCAGCTGCCGGTTGTTTATTTATATCTAACGGGAAAAGCAATATCTAGACGACAGTATCCGTTTTTTTAATCATTGGGCCAATAGTGGTGACGGTTTAGCTGTGAGTAACAAGGATGTTCTTCTATGTTCCTTCCATCGTGGCTTCCTTGTCGTATTTAAATGAAGCAACTCGATTTGATACCCGCAGACAGAAACTCGATGTGAGGCTCCTTCTGTCCTCTTGTTACCTGGAAATTAAATTTCTCTCTCATGGATCGTCTCTCACGGTTCACCGAGTCATTCGGCAATAAGGGCGTACAGAGCCAGGACGTTGTTTTGAAAACGTCCAGGCAGAGAGTTGTGTCCACTCAGGAGTCACAGTGGGTTTGCATTTGTGCTTCCCGAGTGACGTTGAGATGAAGCAAAAGATCACGGCTCACAAACTGTTTAGGGAAGAAGCAAACCGAAGCGCTCTGTGTTTTCGGTTTTCTCAACTCTTCCTTTGGGTGTTACAAGTTGTAAAAAAAAACAGCAGATTTGCTGCACACTCATTGGTGAGATGCAGTTGTGTTAAATACTCGAGTGTGTTAATAAGCAGCTGTTAATGTTATGCAGGCAGAAACTGCATTTTTATGCTTGTTAAAAAAAAAAACGTTGACTGCAAATGGTTAAAGAAAACATTTCAGTGACGGTTGCCAGCATCGCACTGGAGCGATGGAAGAGGAACTGGCATGAGGGCAAATGGGTGTGTGCTAAAGCAGCGGCAGCAGAAATGAGCTGCGTGGGATGGCTGAAGACGACTTGCGCTACAGCTCCACCCAAAAAAAAGAGTCGCCGAGTCATTCAATGTCAAGGCAGGTCAATTTAATTTAAAATTAAAAAATGGGGCACAAATGGTTGATTTGATGCACCAACATTGTTTACAATATCAGGGTGTCTGTGTTCAGTTATTGTCAATACTAGAGACATGTGATTGCAGATAAAACCTTTTAACATTTTATAATAATGCGTAGTTCATAATGCATGAGGTGCTGAAACAGTTGGTAGCTTATGGGATTCGCTCATCAATAGAAAATGAATCTGCAACATATAACATTTAACATTAAATAGAAGTAAAAAAGATTTCTAAGGCAATCATGTTGTCGTTGCAGTTTCTTTAGACATTTGACTAGAAAGAAATTCTTAGTCGACTAACATACAATTCTGTTTTCTAATTTATTACTTGTACTTTACAACTGAGTTCCTCCATAATGAATAAAAAAGGACCACTTTAAAGCCAGAGTTTACAGAATAAGCTGAAATTCATCATGCGAAGTACAAGAGCAGAATAACTGATTAGGATGAATAATCAACAAAGTAGCTCCAGGATAACTCGACTTGGGTTTGTAGAAACTGTGAGGTGCATTTTTACTACTTAAAGGTTTAGAAACATTTGACAATAAGTTGAGGTATGAGCTCAACAGTTAATCACGTACCAGACAACTGAAAGCAAACGTGCCCTGATAACGAGCGACTTGTTATCTTATTTGCGTTGGGTATTAACAGAAGCTGAGGGTTGGTACTTGTGTAAGCTGAATGGGTTTTCCGCCTGAACAGTCACTTAATATAAATAAAAAGTCCAATGCGGACTTGGAGGTCAAGTGGCATAATTGAGTTTCAGGGCTGAGGGATGATCCATCTCTTCATGCCGCGCACAGAAGTGTCATTGCATAAAGGTTACTGGCAGTTGAACCTGAAGCTTTGAAGTTTTTCTCCTTTGAGGTGTTTTTTTGTGTCCTGAAGCTTCTGCGTATATACGAAATAGCTGGAGGTGCTTTGATGCACTCCGTTGGAGCTTGTTGACATGGAAACCAAAGAGGCTATTGTACGACACGCGTGTTTCCGCCACAAGTGCTGTTGAAATAAGAATCAAGTCATGAGTCATTTGATCACATTGTTTGTTTTTGTCTTCAAATATCACATTGATTTAAAAGAGTTTGCTGACTCCTTTTCCTTTTAGACATTGAAAGATACCAGTCTTTTCATGTTTAATCTAATTTTTTGCTCTTTGGTAAGCCATAGTGCGATGGACAGAGATCAGCTACAGGCTGTGGCTACGGATACAAATAAATCAGTGCGGAATAGTGAATTACAGATCCAAATTGCTTCTAAAAGCATCCATCATACCAAACATTAAAGGCATTGCCTAAACATTTTCTGGGCCGGGTTTCTGAGTTTCATCACTGACTGAGCTCCGTTTGCTGTATTGACAAAGTAAAAGCAATATTTTTTTATTTAAGACAGCAGACATGGCCGTATTAATTCCTTAATATATTATTAGATAAAGTAAAGACAGAGTAGACGAATGGGACAGAGGACGGAGTACGCGGCGTCAGGCGTCACGTGTGCTCTTCATCGCTGTCCACCTTTTCGTCTTGTGTCTGCAGTGTATTTGCATGTGAAGGAGAAAGGCTGTCTAAGTGGTCACATTCTCTGGGGACCTGGACAGCAAACTAAGTAAAACCCATTGTTGAATAATGCATCAAAAGATCTGTTACATTTAGTCACTCCCAGATTCTCTGTCATTGTGCAGCCTCATCTTTACAGTTAAATATCCCATCTGTGTCTCCCTAGAGTTTGCATGGACCCCGGCGATGACCCGTGATGATGCTCGCTGAAGGTTCTCTGTGAGCTGAAACCCGAGAAGAGGAGGTGGTGGCTCTGCCCCCGGACGCTGGGATAATGGTGAAAGCTCAGCGGAGCCGGCCTGTGAAATGTGGGAAGCTCCGGAAGGAGAAGGGAGGCAAGGAGAAAGGAGGTGGAGTGAAAAAAGGGAAAGAAAGAAAAAATGAGTTGAGGGGGAGGAAAAAGAAGGATAAAAAAGAGTCACATCGACACAGGAAGAAGACACTGGCGGCGGGTGATGGAGACGCGCTGGACTGTTGCGTCCTGCTCACCCGTCTGGAGGAGAAACGCGTTGTGGGTAAAGAAAAGGACGCACAAAAATCTGGGAAACAAAAGAGGGTTAAGGTCAAGAAGAAGCACTCCAGCGCCACTCAAAGAAGGACCAAATCTGGATTGAAGAAAACATCCACAGCCAATCAGCAATCACTGGAACCAAAAATCAAACAATCTGACGCCTTACTGGCGTTTCCCGCGCCCGTCTTTGAGCCTCGCCGGCGGAGAATGGCCTCGCTTAACGCCGAGGCCGTCAACAGCTTGCTGCTCTACAGAGACGATTCGCTGGCGTCGACTCTCGCAAAGAAACGGCAGCCTTCCACTGAAGAAAAAGCTAAAGATATTCTTGCTAAGACTGAACATAGAGGTCATAAAACCAAAAAGGTTCCTCTGGGAGGGAAAGCGGACCCAAAAGAAAGACCTAAAAAACCCAGGCGGGCGGCGGCGCAGGCTCAGGACATCGACTGGTTGGCTTTGTTTGCCCCGACGCCTCGCCGCCAAGCAGGCCTCACTGCCGCCACGCTGCTCAGGCTCACCAGCGCCCAGTACGGAACCAAGCGGCAGAGGAAGTCGGAGTCCAAGCCGGCGCCCACGACTCAGGGTGAGACCGGCGGCGGCAAGCCGGTCTGCGGAGAAACAACGGCGGCCAAAAAGGCCACACGTCCCAAGCATGCAGACCAACTAAAGCACATAAAACAGGGCACGGGTGATCTGGTTGGTTCCCAGCTGGAGACAAACATCCAGGGTTGCTGCGGTTTGTGCAAAAGCGAGGCTTTGGATCCCGAGTGGGACGGCGCTGCGGTGGGACAGGAGCGTCTCCGGCATGATCTCCGTCGTGGATCTTCGCTGGGATTCTCCGTGAAAACGATAAAAAAGGAGCAGGTGGAGACGGACGTGTCCTCCTGCTACTGCTGCTCCCAGGACAGGTGTGTCGAGTACTGCCACAGGCTGGCCCTCTTCCTGGAGGACAAGACCTTCAAGGAGCCGGAGGACGGCGCGCTGTCCGAGGTGTTCCACCACCACCACCATCACCACCACCACCACCACCACCACCTGCAGCCGCCGCACTCCGTGTCCCACCCGGCGGCCATAACCATCAGCCCGCACAGCTACACCTGCTTCCCCGGCTACTACGTCCACTTCAGCCACCCGGACGCCCCGCCCTCTCCCCTACCCCCCCTCGCTTTGTGCCCAAAGAGCGGCCAGAAGAGAGCCAAGCTGCTCCCCGGCGCCGGTCCGCAGACCCCGGGGATTAGCCACCCGCTGTACTGCTGCGCCTCGGTGGAGGCGTGCTACGGAGAGCCCTGCAGGATCAAGAGCTACTCCTCCTACACCAGCGTGGTTCCAGCCATCGGCAGAGGAGGGTGCTCCTTCAGCCCCACGGACTGCGCCAAATGCAAGCAGAGAGGTGAGCAGACCGGACCAGGAGGGTTGCCGTCGGTGGGTTTGCACAGCGGCGGGCGGGCATTGAGTCGACATGGTCTGTTAATGCCCCGGTATCTGGTCTTAAGAGCGCACAACTTTACTTCACAGGCTGAGGACTAAATGTTTAAAATCCCCGACTCCTTTAAGTAAGCCAGGAGGATTTCCCTCTTTAGGATTAGACATTCATGAGATCTGCTCTCTATAGTTATGAGGGTTTTTTTGTATGCAGCCCCCCACCCCCCCTTCTATCCGGCTGCCACACAGTACAATGTGCTGAGAATAGCTATTATGTTCGCCATTTAAATCTCCCATTTTGGAATGTCACTTGAGTGGGAGGTAACACATAAATGATCAGATAAAGGGCGAGACCTCCTTTGTCTTCGTTTGAATACAAGCAGCCGGACAGTGAATACGAGGCCTTTGCACCAGAAACTTAATGAGCTGATTCTGCGAGCTCAAATGTCAGCAGTTAGTTACAGAGTCAGAGTCAGAGATGTGAGCCAGAACAGAAAAAAAACTCTTTATGATGCCTGCGGTTTAACCCATAAACACCACGTGTCTTCCTGAATGTGTGACTGTGTGGTTAGAAACACCTGAGCGTGACCTCAAAAACAACACCAATTATGGCGACATGCGAACACACACACACAGGGCAGGGCAGCCGAAAAGCAGGTCAGGCTGTGAGGCCTCAGACCCTTGTTGTCGCCAAAATCACCAAAATCACACGAGCACAGTTTCACTGTTCGATTTCCTACTCGGACATTTGTCCCAGTAGGACAAGCACAGGTGTACGTATTATAATTCATGCTGGCTGCTCTTCCTGGTGTTGTTGGCTTGCTGTCCTGATCGCGAGGCTCAATGGGACACGTGAACAGAACACAGCTTTGGTTAGTATTTTTTGTAACACCTGGGGTTTTCCTGTCATATATAACGACCTCGTACACCCACGCAGGTGTTTTTTTCCCCACTTTTCTGCCTGATTAGACCAATTCTCTGCACTGAATGGGAATTTCTGGATCAGGTTTGATTGACAACCCCCCTCCCCCTCTTGTTCATGCTGCTGCAGCTGCTCAACAACTCAGACCCTATTTGTCCACCTGGTGTCCTGATTTCAATCTAATACTCCGATGTCGTGTTGGTTGGTGAGAATGGTTCATTCTATGCAACCGGTGGCTTTGCTGTTACAGCCTCACTTGGTTCTCTGTGGGAATGAAGTTTAGTAAAAGTACGAGAAGTATGAGAAAGTATGAGAAGCAAAATGTACTGGAGGCACTAGTTGTAAAACTAACCACTGGGTTTTCCCTACTGTTTAAAGGGCATTTTAATTTTTGGTGTTATAGGTGGAGCTATTTTAAGACGTACTACTTTATTACAGAATACATCAGAATTTATGAGGTGAGAAAAGGTTTTGCACATAAAATCTTAATTTGCAGTTTCCATTAAAAAGCTGTCAAATAAATGTAGTTTCCCTTTGAAATCTAGCTTGAATAAAGCTGCCTAACGTGCCTAACACAAAATTATGATTTTGATATTATTAGATGCACACAGAGGTACTGTATATATGGATTAAAGCATTTCGCAAGTGGCGAAATGCTTTCTTAAATATATTCTCCATGGAGGAAGCACTAAATTTAATTGCGCATTACTTAACTTTAATGATATCACCACAGCTGTGTCATGGGAGTGTGCGCAACCTGTTCACACAGTGATGTTGATCCTTTAAACGTCTCTCAGTCACTCTGCTCTACTGTTTTTCCTGTTTTGTTCCTCCATCAGACGACTACCCGTCAACCCTCAATGACCGCCACAGTTCTTCCTCCCTCCCCGTCTCCCACGGCCCCAGAGCCTGCGCAGGATGCCCCTCCCCCGACGTGCCCCCGGCCGGCCAACCAGTGCCCCGCATTCAGACGCCGCCGTCCGACCCCAGCCAACCGCAGAGTCCGCCGCAGGCGGCGAAGGAGTGTCCGCAGGGTGCCAAGCCGCCCGGCGGGTCGAGGTCCGGCGCACGCGGCCCCGGCGGCGTCGGCCCGGCGGCCCGCCCTCCCGACAGGGACAAGAAGCAGAAGCCCGCCGCTCCCAGCGCCGGAGGGCGAGCGGTTGCCAAGCAGCCGAAGAACGGACGCCAAAAATCGACCAATGGCTGGCAGCCGGTCGGCCTGCCCTTCCAGAAGGAGGTCTTCTCTGTGGTACGTAGAGAACGTTTTTGGTTCTAATGGTGACCCCCATAGAACCTCCCGCGTCTCATCACTTTCCGCCTGTGTTCCCAGGGAGAGGCGGCTCAGGTGCTGAGGAAGTGTTTCGAGGGGGTCCAGAGAGACGGGGAGCTGATTCGGGTCAGAGACACTGTTCTGCTCAAATCTGGACCTAGAAAGAAGTCTCTGCCTTACGTGGCCAAGATCTCAGCTCTGTGGGAGGAGCCGGAGTCCGGTAGGACGCCTTCTGTACGCCGTGCGTTGAAGTGACGCCGTGATAACGGGTTGAGCGCTGAAGTTGTTGTTTGTTTCTCTTCAGGAGAGCTGATGATGAGTTTGTTTTGGTACTACCGTCCAGAACACACGCAAGCGGGACGCAATCCCAGCATACATTGCGAGGTGAGGTTTTGCGCCTTGTACAGCACTGGTTTCTCATTAGTCAGCAGGTGACTATTTGCAAACTGTTGTTGTGAATCGGTGTGCAGAGTTTATTAAACTTGATGTAATAATTTGCTTATGATAGCTTTGATATTTATGCATTATGTCAAACTAAGATATACAGTGAAAACATGATCTTTTAAACACTGTCTCATTTCCCTTGGCTCATTGTGCCGCGTTCTTTTTGCTTAATTCTTTTTTTCCAATAAAACGTATGCCTGCTGGGATATAAGGTGCTTCATTTTTAAAGCAATTAGATCTTCAGTCTCTCCCCATTCATTTTGGACTAAGTAAGTGATCGCGTGCAGCAGGCTGGCAGACGCGTGCGTCGGAGAGCAGCTTCTGTTGCGCCCCCTTGTCGGCGATCTCTCAAAGGAGCGAGCTGCACTTCATTTCATCTCCAGAAACAATAAACCGCACCGAGTCCGTCGTTTCTGCGCTGCGTTTACAAAGGACAAACACATCAGAGCAGCGGTGTGAGCACAGTGGCGGGGCTTTGTCTCAGAAGAAGAAACATCCTGCTCCCGTGAATCTGTCCGCTCCTCGTGCACAATGAAGTAGACAGATGTTGTCTGTTGTGTCTACTGTGTGCATGGGCGGAATGTGAAGGCCTGAGGGAACAGCGTAGTGCGTTGAGGGGGAGTGAGGGGCGGGGGGGGGGATCTGTAAGCCCGAATGGACCACGATATTAATGATTGTGTTTTCTTCAGTGTTGAAATCGCCTGAAAACAAGAACAGTTGTGTTTTTGTGACCTCATAATGAGCTGATTATATCTTCGTAAGGAGCCGAGAGAGAGATCCCACCATGTTTCTACAGTAGCCCAGAGCGGACAAACCAAACACTGGCTCCAGAGAGGGCAATATACACTTGGGGTTTTGGCCACTTCTGCTTTGGCTTTGTTGATGTCGGTTGAATGCACACTGCACCTTTTTTTTTTAAGGGATCAGTTTTTGTTCTGGGTTTTGATTGATTGATCTTTCTTTCTCCAGAACGAGATCTTCGCGTCTCGTCACCAGGATGTGAACAGTGTGGCCTGTATTGAAGACAAATGTTATGTTCTAACACTGGCCCAGTATTGTCGGTAAGAGAGAGAACATGCGGCGGTGGCTTTCTTTGTAATTTCAAGTGTAAATTTGTGCCTCAATATCTTTTGTTTGAAAGATCGCATGGGCCTGCTGAGAAAATTGCACCGTGCTGATTTTGAAATGCACCATTTCTAACATGAAAAGCCGGCTGATTTTCTTTCAGCCATCAGACGGTTCGCTCGCATGAAAATGTTTCCCCCGGGACGAACGAGCCTGATGTCCCGCATTTGTGCTTTGTCCAGATTTTGTGCCTTGGTTAAACGCCATAGGGAGGGCGTACGCGACCGCGCCGCCTCCTTCGTGGTGCCACCCATTGTCGGCGACGCCACGCCCGCCCACCACTGTGTGCCCGACGACGCCGACCCGGAGCTGGTGTTTTTCTGTCGACACGTCTACGACTTTCGCTACGGACGCCTCCTCAAGAACCTGCAGTAGCACCCGACGGGGCGCGACACGTGTGAGACGATGTTACGCATTCTCCTCCGCGCTGATTGGCTACACACCTGTAGACTGGGAACTGGTTTAGGAGGATGAAGAAATGACGGAGGAGTTCGTTTTTAAAAAAATGTCATGCTTGTATCATGCCCCACCTTTTTTGTTTAGTAAGAGTGACATATATTATACAAGTTAATATGGCAGTGAAACAGTCTTCGCCGTACTTGGCTCTGTGGTGTCGTAGCAGCTGTTTGGAGAACCTGGAACTTACTCTGCTGTAGAACATGCTACTGTAGCTCGTAGAAATGTGACGTTTCATAGGTGTGTGAGAGAGGTGTGATTTATGTTACTGTTTGCCTGACGCCCGTTCTGTGTCGCTGATACGCATCAGCTGAACAAAGTTTGAAGCATATCGTCCCACATTGGTCCTTGAGAGGAGACGCAGAGGTTTGTGAGTGGCTGATTTTACTACATTGGATATTACATATATTTTGCGGATAAAAGAGAAGCTCCGGGTTTCAAGGCGTTTTAGGGAACAATGTTAGGGATATATTTTGATTTCTCGACAAAAGTAATAATAAGACGAGATAATCAATGTAAATCTTATGTTGTGCTGGCTGCTGTCTACAGATATACATCCACCAGCCCAACATGAGAGTCGTATCGAGATTCTCATCAAAGTCGCAATGCAAATGTCCCAATTTCACGATTCAAACGGTTCTATGATTTAAAATTTCCATTTTGCATCATGTAACTGGGATTGGCCTGCAGATCTATGTAGTCAACTCTGACCACACCTGTGATGAGAGTTCTTGATTGAACGGTTTGATCAAATTAAATTCAACCGTTGAACAACAATGATGAAGTTCAGGAACCGCAAACAGCAAAACATGGACGTTTTTTTTGGGCTCCACCTCTTTGTTTTTTTCTGAGAGAATTATGGGTTTCATGCAACTCTTCAACTCACCTGGATGGTGATTTGCTAATGTGGTAAAGACCTACACTTTAGAAAGAAAGCACACTTTGGTTAGATCTGATCCTGCAGTATGACGATGTGCCAATGAGCCGAGCATTGACGGCGTTCCTTGTTCCACCAATGCGGAGGAATATTCTCCGTTTTCAAAGCGGATTGTCAGAGGTGTAATATGACTCGGGTGTCAGCTAACTGTATATTTGCATTCATATATCTGGATGAGTGTATGTTCTGTTCGTGGCAGATGGCGGTTAGTCACCTATATTCTTGTTTCTTCACCGATAAAACGGTGAGTAATGTATTCAGTGTAGCATTTAGATCTGTGATGATGATGATGATGATGATCCATTCCTATGTTTGAGAGAAGATATGTATTTATTTCTGTATTGAGAAAATATAATTTATTTTCAAAAGATAATTTTAAAGAATAGAGTTTTAGATGAGTGGCTTTTACTCCTGATTATAAAGGAGGTCTCTCCTTAGCTGCACTGTCTAAAAAGTGTGAATCATTCGCAATAGTATTTCTGTGACTGATTGAGCTTGCTTGCCCAGTACAAAGATATTAAATGTTGTGTTGAAAATGTAATGAAGTCCTCCGCGCAGAGGAGACGTTTAGAAGGATCTCCGATACGGTTTGAAGGACACCTGCTAACATGTGACCAGAGATGCTTAACCTACAGGAGCACAACATACCTTGGCCTCCCCGTGCTTCCCGTCCCCTGTCCTGAGATGACAAAGCTTTGCCTTTTCACCTTTAAAAGCCGATTGCTACCATGAGTTAAACCTACCTTGCCATTAGCCTGTGCCCTTGATCTTGCTGCCTTATAGAACATTCCCAGCCTTTCATTTAGAGATGTGTGCTGATCTTGGTTCCTAGATGCTCGAGAAGCGTCTCAGGTCCATCACATCCGTGGTGATCTTTTGTGCGATCTAAAAGGGCAAAACTGATCAATAATCAACTCTTTTGTTTGGTTAAAAGTCTGCTCAAGTTTGGATTCGAATTCAAAGTGATCTATTAAAGAGCTGTGGCTGTTAAAGGAATAGTTCAACATTGAGGGAAATGCGTGTGCTTTTTTGTGGAGAGTCAAATGACATGATGGATACCAGTGGAAGCTAATGCTTAGCTTAGCATACCTAGAGCGTATACCTTCGACTGCAGGTACAACAGCCAGGCTTTCTCTGTCAAAAAAGGCCACTGGGTAGAAATGCTGCGTTGAATATCACATCGAGTCCTAATTCTCAACAAAAAAGCTTATTTCCTATTGAGTTTGTAGTTTTCTGCTTCGGAATGAACAGCGGCTGCAGTCAGCTTGAAATCCGTCGGATGGGATGAACTTCAGTAGTTACGGAATTTTCATGGTGGACAACAATGTCCTTAGAGACTTTTTTCTCTGTCCGTCTCAGCTGTCTGTCTGTATGGGCACTATGTTCCAAAGGCAAGACACAACTACCTGGCAGAGGTTGAACCAGTGAGGAAATTCTGCTGCAGGAGTGTTTGAAGTCTTTCAATCTCCTTTGAATACAGCCGCCACCTTAAAACCATAGTGGGTAGTTGAAAAGATAGATTTTGGGGAAGTGACATTTGAAAATACCCACATTCTGCCTACTTCCCCTCTGCTGTTGTATAGAGAGTTGGGTAGATTACTTTTCCACTCTCGTTCATTCGTCAGGCTGAACTGGAAAGTGAAGACACTGCCATTTTGATCAGGCCAAAGGTCATCCGTCTGTATCAGAACTGAAGCAAACGTTTGCCGCTGACTGGAACATTCAATTGAACAATTAATGGATGGTGGATTTACAGGTTTGAAGCCCAAACAGTTCAATCGAACAAAGCAGGATTGGGTTTATTTGGTTCGACGTGGATCTTCTATTTTGAATCCCCCCGAAGGTTCTGCATTAGAGTTAGAAATCCCACGCAGTACATGTTATGGCCTTAGGAATCACTCTGCAAACTAATTATGTCTAATCAAGATGTGTGATACTTATGTCTTAATTGGTCCTCTGTGCCTGTTGCCATTAACCCGTATTTACTCCCAACGTTTTCCACAATGAGAGGGACGAGCTGTTTTTACCCACCTTCCAAATGCCTTTCATTGTTGCCAGATCTGGTCTCATCTTGAATTACCACAAAGAGGTTTTTGCACCAAAAAGAGAACGAGGGTAAGGTATTGAAACGTGAATTTTAATTTCATTCCCGGGTGTACAAAAAAAGGCTATACTTTGATTCTTCTGATGTGAATTTATGTTCCTATTATTTGCATGGCGTTTTTGGAAATATCTTGGAAATATTAACCACAGCACAGATTATTTGTATGGTTTCAAATGGACCTCTGTAATATAAGAAAATATTTAATTGTAATAAATAATATATGAGTTTGAACATGTGTTTGTGGCGTTTTTATGGCGTGACGTTTTATTGGAAAATACACAAGAAAGGACAGCTGTAGTAATAGTTATTTCCCACACGGGGGCTCAATCAGCCAATAATTTTACATGTGATTGGTTTTATCAAATGCATTCATAACAAAGATACAAAAATTGAGTAATCAAAACATTTGTGTCAAATATTGCATATAACATGTTGCACAAAAGGACCATGCAGCACTGAAAATACATGTTGAGGTATAAATGATCAACATTACAAACCAAACGTGCTTGTTAAACTCACTGAATCTATTCTCACAACATCTGGCTCTCAACTGTCCTCCAGTCAGCCACCTGTTTGTCAAGGTTTTACAATATTAGCAAAAAAAGGAGACTTAAACCTTTGTGCCACATGAAAACTACATCTTTAAATCATGTTTAATTTGAATGTAAAGTAAAAAAAAAACATGTAATATATTAAAAATAATATTTGATTTAATTCAAAATCCGTTATCTTTTGATTAACTCAGGACTTTCCCATTTGTTTCAAGTTTTCTAATTAATTGGTCTCCTTCGTACTGAAATGATAAGGATCCCATTTTTTTTTTCAGCCCTGTGGATCGTGACAGGAAAAACAAGAGTGTGAGCATCTTGGATGCAGACACGAGGAGACATCATTTCAATAATCAGCCTCGGATGAATATGTATGAGGCCTCCAGCACTACTCAATCAGGTTATGAGGTTTTAGATATGCAGGTAAATCATTTGCATCTGTGACAGCAAGCGTCTGTGGGAAAGAGTCAGAAAGAAGTGGCAGCTGCGCCAATTCACTCATGATTTAGCAGTAATGTGTTTGTGTGTGCTTTCTCAATGAGTTGTGCGGCGAATGTGTGTTTATGACTTTGCTGCTATCTCTTCCAAACGCCCTGGTCCTGTTTTCTTTACCAACAGCGAGAATGTTCAATGTATGTTTCCCTGCGCAAGTTATGTTTATAATCACCCAACAACAGCTCATGTTTTCTTGATGCCATAATTGCTGAATTAATTTGTGATATTCAAACTGCATTCAAACGTCTCTCTCTTGTATGCAATTGGAATTGAAACATAACCCTGGCAGATTTGCAACTGCAAAATCTTGAATTAAAGCAGTTGAATATTGGGTAGATTGGTAGACTTTCCTCTTTAATTCACTGAATTTAATGTTGAAGTAAGAACAAAGACCCTTTTAGCTTACTTTCTAACACAGAAGAAAATTAGCTTTTTCAACCTCCCACCTGCAAGGCTTCCCGGCTGATTCATACCAGAATTTAACCCTCTCCTTTCTTTTGACGCTTTCACGTGTACGGCTTTATACAGCAGCAATGCCACATGCAAAGCTACTTTGGCTATAGAAAATATCCAGATTCATCAGACAGCCAGTCAAGACATCACAACAGCATCGGTGTATTTTGTGGAATTCTTTTGCTGCTCGTGTTGTTTCACAGCTCTCAGTTCTTTTGAACATTATGCATTTCAGACCAACGATCCAAAGCACCATCATCTCTCCTGAATTTATACCCACTTCACCCAACTAGTGGTACTTCATCAAGATACCTGACATTTGCATAGCAGAACACAGTTAAGCCTGTTTGTACTTATAGAGGATGTTCACGACACAATCAGGAGTTGGCGGGATGCATAAAGTAGATGTGGGATCCACGTACAATAAATTGCAAATCAACCTTATTCAAATCATAAAAGATAAGAAAGAAACAGATAAAAATGAAACATTTAGTCTTTTTTCTGTGACACTCGACACCCATCGCTTCTTCCAACACCTTGATTGGAGTCAACCTGTGTCACATTCAATTGATTGAAGATGATTTGTAAACTCACACACTTGTGTTGACAGCTGGAAATGCACATCAGAGCAAAATCAACAACTAGCAGTCAGGCTTGCTGTGCGGTGACAGGGTTTGCTGTGTTTCCTTTGGTCTTGTTTAACTCGGTATCTGCTCGGTGCTTTGTTGCGGGGATCGATTGGGGGATCTTGAGGACTGTTGGGTTTCCTGGTGACACAACGGCTGTTTGTGCTCTCTAAACACGCAAAGGGGGACAAGAAGCTTTTCTTTCTTGTTGAGCTGCTCGGTCCGGGAGTAATGACTGGGGATGCCGGGGGTCATTGGGGCAGCTAGAAAAAGGGTCTCCTCTTGGAGAGGTTTGTTCTGGGAAGCATTGGATTGGAGAGGCCCAACCGCTGAAAGCCTGAATCCTCAATCCTATCACCGACGGCAGACGTTTGTTTTTCAAAAGAAGATTCTGTATAAACTTACACCGACCACGGCCGGTTCAGAGAGGTTGATTTGAGGAGTCGCTGTCGTCTTAACCTTACATTGATGCAGGTCGATTCGGAAAGAATGGGGGGGGTTAGAGGGGGAGCTGGTTATCAACTCTCAGTCCACAGCGAAGGGACGTCTGCGATGTCTGGCTGCTTCACCAAGAGAGAGAAATCACACCTAGGTGTGAAGACCAAGTCCTTGGGGGGGGTTATGCCCTGTAGCAACAATGCATTCCCAAAACTCAGCCTTGTTTTTTTTGCTATGGTGGGAGCCCAACACAGGTAAAAGTGACCCGTACCAGCCACTGTTGGTACTCAAAGCAACAATCAGTAATATCACTGATGCAAGTGTTCTTAAGCCTTCCTATTTTCTTTTAAAATTCTTTGTTGCATTTGTTCAAAGAAAGGAAAAAGACACCGGTATCCTTTATGGAACACATATTTATGAAATAAGTGTGCGTATATACAGTGTGTGTAAATATATATATATATATATATCTTTGTTTTAAATATTCAAATGAACGTAGATGATTGTTATCATCCCACTATCTACATTTAGTCGCGCTGCAGATTGTGAATACATTGTGTTTGTTAAACGTCATCGTCAGCAGAGTGTTAACTGCGTGACTCAAGGGCATACCGAAGACAAACGCATACACAAACGTCGTGTTTCTGCTCTGTCAGGCGATGAATGGAGAGGGAACAATGATTTAAATCAACTTATTTATTATGAAAGCCAAAAATATTGTAGAGAAGATATTAATCAACAAATACAAATAAATATATTGAATAAAGTTGATAAGAATTGCTTAAAACATTTAGATAAGAAAAACATGCTGTGCATAAAGAAAGCATCAATGTCACACTCAAGAATGTGAATACATACAACAATTACATAAATGTATTGTTTCTGTATTATTGCAAAGACAAGAGAAAAAAACCGTACAGGTATATATTTTGAATCACAGTCTAATGTGTTTCACTGCTGAATAAACATACTTTTAACACAAGCATTACACACATCCTATTAATCAAAGTGTATTTGGAAATTCAGTCAAAGAAGAGAAAAAAGCAGTTATGAAAGCTTTGCAACCATTTTTGAGTTTTTGGCCTTTAGTGTGAATGTAACCAAAGGGTTCTGCAGTGAGGTAGTTAAAAACAGTCAATCTCGATATCAAACACCGTCTAAAATGACTGGATCTAAAAGTTCTCCCACAGATCTCCTGCAGCCGTAAAACCCAATAAAAGAGACAAGTTTTAAAAAAGGACACCAAATTGGGCCAGCACGTGCGAGACGTTAAGTAGGTTTTACCGCCATGAGGACAGAGCGCTGAACAATTTAAAAGCTAAATGGCGGAAACATTTATAAAACTCTTAAAACAACCGTTCACAATACTTTGCCATAAAATCTTCCGCGCTGCTCCGTCTGCTGATCCCGTCCATCGACGACGGGCGCAGCTGCAGTCACTTGTTAAAATAAGGCCGGCAACAAATAAAACCTCATCTGCAATAACACCTCCATAACAAATCCACAGCTCACACAGATAATTGAAACACCCAACACACACACACACAATTCAAATAAATGATATGAATGGAATTAAAAGCATGCAGATACAAATATCTAAAAGTCAAGGTTGCGTGTAGCGTTTACATGAACACTGATTAGATTACAGATTGAGGTTTTATGTGACGTGAAGCAGATACAAAGTGTCCTTGTGTCTACGAAGTACAAATTCACAAGACAACTATTATGCGTAGATGTCTTGAGGAATGGCGCAATTTGCGGCGGGTAAATCCGCTGCCATCGTGGTGGTGAGATGCCGGCGCCCCCTGTGCGTCATCGTCAGGGCGTTCGACCGGCGTCCCCCGTCCTTTCTTGCTTTTCTGTTGCGGAAAATCAATCGGCCGCAGAGGTAGGTGAGGATTTTTTGGTGAAATGAGGCGTAAATGAAAGGGTTGTAGCAGGCGGAGCTCATGGCGAGCAGGTGAGCGGACACCTGGACGATGTTGATGTAATCCTTCCCTAGGATGGAGAAATCTGTGTCCAGGTCACGGATGAGATTCACCAGCTGTGAAGTCAAACACTGTTTAGCACTCAGCGTCCATATGGAAATCGGTTCAATACATCATTTAGAAATTTGTTCTGTTATTTGCGAATTTGAACATTTTCAGTTCAAAGGTTCCCGCTGATTACTTAATTTGTTTGCTTAAGCTAAGCTAAGCATTAGTTTCAGTGTTAAAAGGCAATTCAGCACATTAAACGCACGTAAAATCATTTAAACACATTGCCACCGATTCTGGGTACATTTCAGTAAACACTTCTTGCAAAGAGTAAGATTGAAATTCTGACACACTTTTGACATCTGACTAATAATCAAAGTGGCCTGTAAGTCACTGAACTTCACAAAAGTAGCTCGACACACAATCGCCGCATTTGGAGGTTTTTATAAAAGGGCTTAAACAATCAACATACAACTGGTTTGTGTTTGAGCTTTCAAGGTACTCACGGACAGATGTAGTTTATGCGGAATGAGATAGTAATTAAGTAACCCACAAGAACTTTATTATCTCACTAAATGGTCACAAGTGGGATTGTGTTCGTTCACGTGTGTGTAAGTGATAAATATGTATCCATCAATTCCTCAGCCCCTCTCATCCGTACCTGTAAGGGAAGCCACGAGAAGGCAAAACACAGGACGGACACCAACAGCAGACAGAAAGTCTTCCTCCTCCGTCTGCTCCATGCGGCCCCCGCAGATCTCAGCTCCTGACACGCCGTCAATCCTGACGCGGTCCTCTGCCTCAGCTGGTAGGATATGGCACAGTAGGAGACGGAGACGGCAGCCAGTGGGACAAAGTAGGAGAAGAGGAGTATGAAGCAGGAGTAGATGAGCCGGCCTCGCTCCTGGCCATCCCAGAACTCCTCACAAACGGCCATGTGCAGCCCTGCAGCCCGCAGGTCCAGGTGGACGGTGTGCAGCGCCGTGGGCGCGGATAAAGCCAGGGAGGACAGCCAGATGGCGACCACCAGACCCCAGCAAAACTGGCCCCCCGCTCTTCTGCGGATGGGATAAGCCACGACCACGTAACGGTCCACCGCGATGGCCATGAGGGAGAGGCAGGCCGCGTAGACGGCCGCCGACTGCATCACGGTGACGAAGAGGCACAAGTGGGGGCCAAACACCCACCCGCGCCGGTCAAAGGCGTAGGACGCAGTCAAAGGGACGCAGAAGACGCACATGAGCAGGTCGACCAGGGCCAGGTTGCCGATGAGGAAGTTTGTGGTGTTGTGTCTTTTCTTGTTGTGCCAGGTGAGAAAGAGCAGGAGGAGGTTGCCGGAGCAGGCGACCGACGCCACCGCGGAGTAGAGGGGGATGAAGACGGGCTTCAGGTCGAACAGGAGGTCCAGGCCAGAAAAGGAAGGGACCAGGAACGGGGAGGTGGAGAGGAGGAGGTGAGAGGAGTTGCAAGAGGAGGAGGTGGAGGTGGAGAAAGAGTCGGATGTGGTCGGAGATGACGAAGAGGCTGCAGTAGAGGAGTTCACCCTGGATCGGTTCAATGACTTCTCCCAGTCCATAGCTGCCAGATCTACATTGAATAACAAACGAGTTTAAAATCTGTTGCAAATGATTGTACCCAATTTTATATCTTAATTTCCTACAAATATTTCCAAAACAAATGTATTAAACTCCATATGAACTGAGATAAAAAATATTCTTGTGTTAGTCATGCGGCGGGGAAATACACAAGATTTACAGCAGTTTAGGGTAAAGTGCAAACAAGAGACATATAAAAACAAGATGAAAAGAAGTATTATGTATATACAATATTATTAAAAGCTGCAGGGCTTGCAGATCCCCCTCAACTCCATTTGTTTACCTTCATCCACCTCTTCTGCACGTCATTTAACAAATGTGAAAGCGTCTTCTGTAAGTCAAAATCTGACTGTGGAGTTCAGGCTGACATTTGTCAAAATGTCCCTGTTCTAAGTTATTTTTAAATATGCCTGTCGTACTTTTCCTGTTAAATCAGCTCGATGCCTTATTGACTTGTACCATGATCAGCGATAGATTGATTTGAATGTAAATCACATGCACCAGTTTTCAATCATATCAATCAACAACCGTTTCTTCTCTTAGAAACAAAATGCTGCAAATTTGAAAGTTACCAGCCTACATGCATTTTCAAAATGTAGGAATTAAAAGAAAAAGTTACCTCTGAGAGATGTCAGTCAGGACATTGTTTTTCTAATGAATTGGACAATTCAGAACGAATTGGTGTCTTCTGTCCGATGGATGTGTGCGTATTGTGCAGGCTCACCTCGTCACTGCAACCCACTCGCTTCTGAATAGAGAGGTGAGCTCTTTCTCTCTCTCTCTCCTCCGGCACTGAGTGTTCCTGTGAATGAGTCACCTCCAGGCAGATAGCTGTCTGTCATTACCCCCAGTGAACAACCTTACAACCTATTATATTCCCCTTGTTCAATATGTTATAATTAATAGTGAATTTATGTACCCTATTTGAAAGCATTTTCACTAGAATCATGATTTTCCCATTGGGATGAATCGTGCTTTTTGGTTTTCCATCAATCAAATGTATTTGTACAGCACATTTTAAAATACAACAAAAGTTGTGCATAGATACAAACTGGATTAATAACAGAAAGTAACGTAACAAGACTAACTGACATACATGTTAAAATCAAAGGTGAGGCCAGGGAAAATAAATGTTTTTAAAACATTTAAACATTAGTAAAGTGGATGACTTGGAAGTTTGTTCCAAGCTCAGGGGCAGCAGCAGAGGAGGACCGGTGGGTCTTTTTTGTTTTTGGAACATCAGCTGTTGGCCGAGGGACATGGCTCATAGACACATACATGTTTGGATATATGACAGATGACTTGTTGGGAAGAGCGGGAATATTGTGAGGAAAATAAAACATGAAAAAAGGACTTGAAACATATTCAAGGATTCATAAAGCAAATGTATAGCGTATTACATAATTCACCGTTTCTTATTCAATTGTTATTAGAAGTAATTTGCTTGTTCTTACTACCAAGCGTAGACTTACAGGTGCAGCCATCATCCAGCAGTCGAGTCATTTTTTAATTGAGCCAAAGAGTTCTTGGTAGTACATTACCTGTTTTGAGGGATTCATTAAGTCATTTATTATTAAAATGTTGCAAAAATCCTTCATGTCTCAGTCCAGCCCCTTTTCTCCTATGACGGCTACTTTGGATCTCTCTGAATTTTTAAACCTGTGTCATAACACCAAAAAGATTTCTTTAGCAGCCCGTCCGGCTGGTTTCTAGGAGTGACTTTTAATGATGGGGTGTGATGGACCCGCCTGGTCCACCTTTCTTCCTTGTACATTAAGTACCTTTTTGTCGGCATGCCAACCAGCCTGGTTCTTTACCTTTCCTCTGCTTTGGAGCTCCAGCAACCCCAGATGCTTCCACCTTTTCACACGTGCACAAGCTCGTCCTCGTACGCTGAGGGAAGCCAGTCCTTCCTGATGTTTTCATATGTTTGACAAGGCCCAGTGTTCATAACCTTGGGCTTGTGCAGAAGTTGCCAAAAAATGCATGATATCCGGTTCCCGGATATCCAGGCTTCACCGGGGACATTACTGAGTTAAAGCCCCATTTGGTGGGGTTTCCTCTCATTAAGTGTCTGCGTCTGGTCTGGGCCAGGCTCGCCACCAACGGTGCATTGACACAGATGTTTTGTCCTCAGGGAAAATGGGTCTGGCAGCTATATTTGATACGTGAGGAGGAGGGCTCAGGTGGAAAAGCCTTTCTCATTGAACTGAATGAGAAGATGTGTCCAAACCTCATTCTGCCTCTGTCCCTCTCTTCAGTTACATCTACACTTCCCCGGGTTCTGCCGTTGCCATTTTCCACCAGATGCATTGGGACTGTTTAAACTCTCCCAGTCACCTCACATCCAGCCTATCACATTTTTCCTGGTTAAATTGATGTTATTCAGAGTAAGCCAGTTCCCAATTGATTAGATAAATCTATCCAATATTAATAGTCTATTTCAACAGGGACCTTAGAATAAGGCAGCTCATAATGTTTGTGTGTGTGAGTGTAATTCTTCTCTCTTTTGTCCCATTTGCTGACTGACTCCTCTGTAACAGGGAAAGTTTACATAAATAATCTTTGCTGCCATTTAGAAATATCGCAGCGAGATGGGCAGACCACAGGAGAGAAGCCTGCTAGACTTTACGCTGTCTCCACTCTCGCTGGATCTTACAAGCTGTTGCTTCAGCTTGTGTGCAGACGAATGAACCAAATCCATTCTACTGTTGTGATGTTTTTATTTAAACATGGGTAAGACTTCATTGGTAAAAACATTATGGAAAAAAAATAAAGATGTTACACAATATGGTACAATATTTTTAGGAATATGTCACAGTCACAGTCAGTTCTATATGTCACAATTGTATAATGTTTGCAAGATGTCGAAAGAGTCTCAATTACCTAATGTGCTCCTTCAATAACCTTTGCATATATAAATCATGTAGAGCCATTTTTGTAACATTTATAATGGAAATCAGAACACAGACTAGATAATAATCCTTCAGGGGATGAATAACAAGGACTGAAAAGGTACTTAACACTCAGTTGCTGGGGATACAGATGATGATGACAGGCTGTAATTGCTTCTTGAACCACTGTTAACAAAAGCTCTGTCCAAAACAGACAGACGGTCACCGCTACTAAATTCACGCAAAGTTAGTTCTTTTTTCACTGTTACCATATTCTAACACTCATTTCTCTGGAGTGTGAGGGCCATCTTGGTCAGGGTTGGCTCCCTCTGCCGTAGTGTCCTCTTCTATCTGTGTTTGGGCTGCCTCAGCCTGTTCGTTGTCCTGCGACGGTCTCAGGAGATACTCCAGCTCTTCTGCGCTGATGGCCACCTTCTCAGGAATCAACCATCTCTTGAAGTGTTCAAGAGCGCTGGGGAAAGGGGAAGTACACACAAGGTATTGAGATGAGAAGAGGACGTCTTGTTATTCTTGCAATAATAGAAGGGCTCTTCTGGCAGGATCACCGTTTACTTATTAGTATCTGCGTGTGTCACAATATCAAAGAGTAATCAGCCACAGCATCCTACCTGTCGTCCATGTCGCCGCCTTGGAAGAGCTCTGAGGCCTGAGCGTCGTGCAGAAATCTGTCCCAACATTCTTTCTTTGCTTGAGACAAGGAGCGCAACATGTCCCTGGACGTCACGTCACTTGACTGGCCCTTTATTTTCTTCAGGCGGTTCTCTGCATCGAAATTTAGAAAAGACAACACTTGATTTTTTCCATCTAAAGAAAAAGAGAGGGACAGCCCCTTTACTAGATTATGGTCTATAAATGCAAGAGGAGACAGAACGGATGGCTGTACCCAAACTGGCTATGTAGATCTCAGAATCCTCCATGGGTTGCCATTTGACGCCAGAGGACGTGCCGTTTGTCCCGTTCGAGTGTCCATTGACCTGCGGTGCGAGTTGTGCGGCTGGCTGGAACGAGTCGATGAACTCCGGGTGGATCTCCGGGGTTGCCTGACTCACTGGAGACAGACTGGAGCAGATTTCTGTCCACAGCTCCCCGCTGGACCGGACGTCCTCCTTGTTTTCGAAGTCTTCGATCATCCTGGTTCACTGAACTGGGTCACAACAGAAGAGTTAGCGTGAAGTGAATTGGCATTAGCAGGATGGTGTTTATGGGTCGTGCAGCAGTAATAAAACAGGGTTATTCGTGTGGGATAGAAATTACAAATAAATGAATAAGGTAAACTGCGCATGTTACAACTACTAAGCGTTAGCCACATTCAAAAGCTGCGCTTTAATCTAACCAAATGTATCAACATAGCTAACTAAACTTAGGTCAAAACCCTATTTTATTGAGTATTGTTTCATTAGATGTGCTTTAAAACAGTTTTTTGTCATATTGAGTTATAATCGTGTCTTACCTGTCTGAAACTCTTGATGAAATAACCGTTACTTCTCCTAAAGTTTGATTTTTGAAGATTAAAGAATGGGCTCACTAGCTGTCTGTGTCCATGATCTACAGTCTTAAACGGAGGACGTCCACTTCCGTATTTAGTGTCATATGATTAGACGTTGTAACCGTCCATCAAACAGTTTTCTAAAATGCGATTGGACCTCTGTGGCTTCTCGGCAGCAGCTCGCTTGCTATTGGCCAGATGTCGTGTTTTGCAGAAAAAGGAGTGAGGACGTTGGTTTCAGCTGGAAGGAATCGATACGGTGAGGATTTATCAAGGTAAACAAGCACTGACAATCTATGTTGAATTATTTTATTCGCGCAAGTTCATTGGTTAATAACTGACACGAACATTGGCAAATTGTTTAGCGATATTACAGGTCTATAATTGAATGTCCCTGTGTATAAACACGGCTGGATCAGCTCGGTGTGCTAAAGTTCACTTTAAAGCGAATAATTCCTGCAGCCAAATGTAATTCTGCCTGTAACTATTCCCAACTTGGCTACGACAAATGATCAAGAGTTAAACAAACAAAAATGTTTAAACGTTTGTCGTCGAGATTTTGCACGCGATGGTCGCCGCGTCACGTGAGGAGCAGCGCGCGTAGGAGATGCGCGTGGCGCTGCGGCTGGCGGTGGTGGCTGTCCCGATGGGGGTGCTGCTGTCCCGGACCATGGCCTGGATATCCAGCGGAAAAACGCACCCGGAGCTCATCGGCCGGCTGAGGGGTAAAGGGCAGATCTCAGGGCAACCTTTATTTTAGACACACTTATTGGTAACGCCTCCTTTAATACGAGGAAATACATTTGTGCTTTATCATGATATTACAATGACCCAAATCCCACACAATTATCACAACATAGTAGCCTATGTATACATAGTATGTATACATCCAGCTTTAAATATTGACCAAGTACGATGCCATCATTCTTATTTGTTTTACCTAAAAAGTTTGTATTAATACTGTTTCATCCACATAAAAGGGAAACGCACCGGGTTTAACCCGCACACAGTTTCCAGTCTAGCTCAGTGCAATAGCCTCCTCTTCTCTCCTCCAGATCACGGGGTGATCCGCAGCGACCGAGTGTTTGATGCCATGCTGGCTACAGACCGAGGGCTGTACGCGATAGACTATCCTTATGCAGACTCTCCTCAGTCCATAGGTATTCATTGGAGTTCTCTTCATAGGCACAAACACACACACACTTGCCTCTAAATATGTTTCGTGATCACAGACGTTTGCCGTGACTGTGCTACGATATTTTCCTCATCACAGGGTACAGAGCGACCATCAGTGCACCACACATGGTGAGTAACAGACAAAGAACTATTACGATCCGCTGGTGTACATGATGGGCTGAACGTTTTCATTTGGTGGCTTTCCAGCACGCTCATGCTTTAGAGCTGTTAAGTGACAAACTAACTGAAGGGGCATCGGCGCTGGATGTGGGTTCAGGAAGTGGATATCTCACAGCCTGTTTTGCAAGAATGGTAAGTGCCGTATAAACTTTGCATGTTTCCCACCAGCCGATATGAAGTGCAACAGCTGTAATTTTCTTTTGTTTGTAGACAGGACCTAGTGGTAAAGTGGTTGGCATTGAACACATTGATGAATTGGTTCAAATGTCAATAAAAAATGTGCAAGCTGACGACCCAGAACTGCTGACCTCTGGACGCATCAAACTTATGGGTGAGTCATGAATAACAAAGGAATGCATTTTTTAAAGTTTTTGACGTAGTATAGAGACAAAAGACTTTAAAGGTCATATTTGTCCACAGTGGGAGATGGAAGGTTCGGCCACTCAGAAGGAGCGCCGTATGATGTCATTCATGTTGGTGCAGCGGCAGCTACTGTTCCTCATGCTGTAAGGACGCGTATGGCTTTCACCTCTGTGAAAATAGAATAAGAGAAATCATGAATATATTTACCTTCATCCAAAATTCACAACAAAGTAGCACAGAGAGTTAAGGTTAAAACACATTGCAGTACATCTCTTTATTTAGCTAGTATAATCCCAGGATGATTTCAACATGTCTGGCCAAGACGGCAGCACAAAACTTTCAAACCACATAAAAACACAATTGACTCATAAAACCAAAACATCAAAAAGTAAGGACTGCATGATGAAATAAAGAATTCTGAATAAACCAGACAAGAATAAAACAAACTCATTCAGCGTTCAAGACAAGTAAATACTGTAATCAAATAACTTTTAATCTTAATTTCCACATGACAATCGAGTGCACCTCATTCGTCTACATGTTTGAACGTCTACTGTGGTTCAGTGAATCTTGAGCAGTCGGTATTCCTAAAAACATCTGCTGTAAAATGAGAGAACTTCAAACGCAGAGGACAGACTCGACTTGCTCATTTAACATCAACTCGTGTGAAATTTCTGCCGTGTGTCTTGTCAAAGCTCTTGGAGCAGCTGAAGTCCGGTGGGCGGTTGGTTCTCCCCGTGGGCCCCGATGGGGGCAGTCAGGTGTTAGAACAGTACGACCGGAAGAGCGACGGGACCTTTGTCAAGAAAGCTCTGATGGGAGTGGTTTACGTCCCCCTGACCGACAGGAGGCGTCAGTGGCCCGGGTATTTGCAACAAAACACACTATCCAGCTCTTTCCGGTGGTTTTTGTTACTGATCCGATCACTGCTATCATTCCCTCTCTCTCTCTCTCTCCCCAGAGGTGAGCTCTGACTGCAGTGCGGTTGCCCCCACAGAAGGTGGCGTTGGTGCTGCATCCCCGGGGCTCAGTAGCTTCCCCCGGTTTCACTGAGCCCTTGTGGGTTGTCGCCCGGCGACGTACAACGAGGACCCTTCTCCGTTTGCCCGACCAGATTGTCTTCTAAGAGGGATACAACTGTGAGCGAATGAATGCGCGACCACCACTGGACCGAGGAGCTCAATCCACGGGGGCAGAGAGTGATTGAAGTGATTCAGAGAATTCTATCTGGGTGAGCCAGGAAAGTTCAGCCATGAGAAAAGCGCAATATCCACTTAAGAAGCTACAGAATGTGTTCTTCTGAATGCTAATGGGATATTCAGATAAGTGTTTAATTTGTGACTATGACTGCAATAACACATAAAGTATAAGAAAATCCAAGTATAAGCCAAGGAAATTAAATTCAGTAAATTAACTATTTTGTGGTTTGAACTTGTTCTTAATGGTTTCACGTGGTGTATATTTAGGATGTGTCCTGTTTGAGATTGTTCCTGTTAAGCAGTGGGGACATTGTGCTAAAAAAGGATTAAATGAGGAACTTAATTGTATTTAAAGCTACACAAATAATTAATCATTTGGAAGGTTTATTAATAAAACCCACTAAATGGATACATTATTTTGTTTACTTTTCTACAGCAATTTCTTCCGTCTGGGTCATGGATAGCTACACAAAGAATGTTCAACATTTTTGAATAGGATAGGAAACAATATTTTAACAGCTAAAATTAGGTCTACAGTTATTATCAACACCATAGGACTAAATGATCTTTTCAACATAGTAGTTATACCAAATAACATATTTATCCTCCACTGAGTAAAATACAATCTTGATCTGTACCAAGATAATACGTAAGTAACATGATCTAATATTACCAGACCGTACCATAATCTTCTTAAATCTTCTGTGTGTTTTTTTCAGAGGATTTCTGCTGCAATAACTTGCTAGCTTCTCATATGGTAGATAAACACTTTAAATCAAGATCACGACTTCAACCTCATATAAGTACTGTGCTAATGTCTCCTAAAAAGCAAATGTAATACATACTATGAACAGTTGGTGGCGATAATGCCTCTGATGAGCTGTTTGTACTCAACGACCAATAAAAAGAGGAAGAAACGGCAGCGGTCGACTGTTTGTTGAACTACAGGTTGGACTGATTTGACTACACGTCGACGTCATCACTGCGCGCGTCTAGCGACAAGGTCCTCTAGCCAAGCGATGCACGTGAGTGTATCTGTCAAAGGTTTGAGCAAACGTAACTTACTGTCTGTCTCCTCTTCGGCGCTAGCGTTCGTTAATAAGCATGTAATCCATCAAATAGAGCGTCGCTTTATTTCCTTTCACAGGGCGGATCGTCCTTTGAATCGCCATTTTTATTCTCCACAGTTTAAAACCAGCAGCTCGACGATGGCGCAGGCAGCATGCGACAGCACAACACCGGCCGAGGTAAACCTCCCGGTGCCCGACGAGAAGACGACCCCCAAAGAAGCCGCAGAAAGTGGCAAAAGAAAGAGTGACGAGGCGGGCGAAGATGAGACCCGCGGCCATAGCAAGAGGCGGAGGGGAGCGGGGGGGAAGAAGCCCCGTCCGGGCGAGAGGTACGTCCCCCCTCCGCAGAAGCGGAACCCGGGCGTCAGCTTCAGCCGGGAGCATTTCGACGAGACCTCCTACTACTTCGAAGGCGGCCTACGCAAAGTGCACCCGTACTACTTCGACTTCAAAACGTACTGCAAGGGCCGGTGGATTGGGAAGAGCCTCATGGAGGTGTTCAAGAGCGAGTTCAGAACCGAGTCCATCGAGTACTACCAGATGGCCGTCAAGGAGGGTCGCATCCGGCTGAACGAGGAACCTGTGGAAGACTTGTCATTGGTGCTCCGGGTCAGTGTCCCCAAGTGTGACTTTGTTATCAGGAGGCGATGAAGGAAAGGCTCCAAGACGCCTAGTTATTCTATATAGGTGATATATCCGATGTATTGTATGTTTTTAATCTGACAGCCTTTGAAAAGGTGCCTCTGTTGAGCCTTTAGCATCCTCTCCTCCTCATTAAGCATGTGACCAAGACCAAATGTGTCCCGTGCAATGTGCCGCGTCACAAGCATGTTTAGTGTTCAATTAACAACCACCGTTGTGCCCATCCGCAGAACAATGACCACATGAAGAACACGGTGCATCGCCACGAGCCCCCCGTAGTTGGCAGGCCCCTGGAGGTCCTGGTGGACGACGGTGAAGTGCTCGTGGTCAACAAGCCCGCCTCCATCCCCGTCCACCCGTGCGGCCGGTTCCGCCACAACACGGTGATTTTCATCCTGGGAAAAGAGCGAGGCGTTTCTGAGCTCCACACGGTCCACAGGCTGGACAGGCTCACCTCGGGAGTGCTGCTGTTCGCCAGGACGCTGGAGACGTCACAGAAACTAGACAAGCTGGTGAGAGACAGACAGGTATGTTCGGGACGGGGTGGATCTACGCTTGCACGTGTTTAAATCCTGTGCACATGTCATTTATGTGAACATAAGTAAACAGTTGTTCTTTCTTGTACAGCTTGAAAAGGAGTATGTGTGCAGAGTAGAGGGCGACTTTCCAGAAGGGGAGATGACCTGCGAGTTGCCCATCCTGGTCGTTTCCTTTAAAATTGGCCTCTGCCGCGTTGATCCAAAGGGAAAGGAGTCCAGAACCGTCTTCCAGAAGATCAGCTTCAATGGGAAAACCAGCGTGGTGCGCTGTTTACCACTGACGGGCCGCACACACCAGATTAGGGTCCACCTCCAGTACCTGGGCTTCCCCATCCTCAATGATCCTATCTACGGGTCCTCGGCCTGGGGCCCAAACAGAGGGAAGGGGGGACTCCCGGAAAAGAGTACCAAGGAGCTGCTGGAGGCCCTCGTAGAGGAACATCGCTCACAGGAAACTCTCCATTTGCTGGACGTTCCGGTTGATGGGAATGAGCGAGGGGCGGAGAAAGACAAAGAATCTGAGAAGATCCACCTGGATCGCCCTTCTGAGCCCAACAGAAGTGGAGACCGTCATCCGATAGACGCACAGGTGCAGACATGTGGCAGCGAGACAGTGGATGAGGCGGGTCAGGGCTGCATGGACCCAGACAGTAACAGTACTTCCTCACCCAAAACTCAACCAAACATCAATGCAAATCAAACCGAGGCAACAACTCAAAAAAGTCCTCCAGGGATTCGAGACCACCTGTGCAGTGAGTGTAAGCTGGTCCGACCAGATCCCACAGAGAAAGAGCTCATCATGTATCTCCACGCTTTACGCTACAAGGGACCAGATTTTGAATATTCCACACCTTTACCCGATTGGGCCGAAGAGGACTGGGTCGAGACTGGTTAGCGCTGACCTGATGCAAACAAAGAACATGTATCTTTATTCATTCTCACTTTGATCTAAAGTCAAGCAAATTATTTTAGTTTGTTTTCATCCTTGTAGCCTGTAAACTGCCCGGTACTCAAAACATGCTTCAAATAATTAAAAAGCCGTTCTGCAGTAAAATAAATACATTTTTGCCTTAAATGACTTCTGTTTGAGCTCCGTGAAACAGCATTGACGCCTGTAATTGATTGTGGTGGGCACCTTTTTAAGGTGGAGTCAACAATTCTGAAGACTGATGGTTGAAATAAAACACCAAAAACTGCTTTGCCATTAAAAGTAATATACATTCTATTGCTCAATTAAACAAAGTGGATTAGATTCACTGACCCCACCGTTTTTAAATCCCCAGTGTGTAGCATTTAAGGGGATCTAATGGCAAGAATTTAATATAAGTGCCTATAATCGCCTGAAAAAAATAAATATATGTTTCACCATTTGAAAGAGCGGTTTCTAATTACATAACATGTAGGTTGTCTTTGTGGTTTAATATGGAATTTTGTGTTTTCTCACCTGCTTCTGTAGTGCCTACAAGCCTGGCACACTAGGGAAGTTTTAGTTTTTTGAAATCTGCAACCTCGTCACCAGATGCCCCCAAATCCCAAACCTTCAACCTTCAGTCTGTTAATTGAAAGCCCAAGAATAATTTTAGCGATCTCTGAGATGGGTTGTTTTCTTGCCAAGGGATTTGAAATGAATGCTGAATGTGTAATTGGGATTATACAGTCATGATGTCAGAGGAAAACACTTCTTACATAGAGACAGCTTGAAAATCAGACAAAAACCTCCTCATTGTGCCAAATCACCACCACTGCTTCTTTAATACCTCCTTTTAAATACTTATGAAGGACCATAGATAAATCTTTTTAAAAATCTTTTTTAAAGGACACACCCTTTGAACAAAATAGTTTCAGTAGTTTGAACATTAGAAACAACATGTTGAAAGACATTTGAAACGTGCTGTTCAAGTCATAATGTAATTTGCGCATAAACATAACATAACATCCATTGTGACCACTCAGCTGTTCGGTGGGCTGTACACATCTTAGATTATCCCACATATAGTGTAATATCTGCACTACACTAAGTAAACATTAAATGTATTTGGCACCGGCACTTGAACAAACAGCACGACTCATAATTTGACAATAAAATACAAAATGCAAACTACTCCATGTTCACAGGGAACATACTGTACACATGATTGCCACAAGTGCAAAACCAACTGACTTTAGTTAAGTGATCCTTTGCTACTGACTCTCTCTGTTCATCCCACATACATGGAATATTATTCTGTCCATGAATGAATATAGCTCTTTGAGGTCCAGCATGGAGACACTGGATTCTGTCACGTGTCTGTGAAGATGCCAAAAAAAAGAGTTTCAGGCACAAAGTAAACAGCAGGTACAGGTCTTGGTTATATATTATATATATATATATATATATATATATATATATATATATATATATTGTATGCTAAGGAAGTTTTGTCTCTCGTCATCTGTCTGAAAATATGGCTTTCTGCAAGTCATGCTTTGATTAGACCTTTTGCCGAGGAGACCCTCATGATCTGTAACGACCCTGGCAGCAACATCAGACAAACATGCTGTCACACGTTACATTTGGGTGGCTTATCTTTCCTTTATGTAAAAAGCAAAAGCAACGTAGTATGCTCCTTTTGTAGTTTGCATGTGTCGTAGTGTAGTATTCTGTTTGTAAAGATTGCTCCATCTTTGCTCAACATGTGTCCTCCCGTTGCCCGTCTCTCTTTATCCAAACGTCAGGCAGGTCTGGCTTGCTGTTGGGTAAGATCACAACTCCCTCACTCTGACTGGTGCGGCCCTTATTGCAAGTCTCATAAACCGTTTCTTTCAGTGAGAGACGAAGCGTTTCTCTCTTCCCGTTCAGATGCCCCGGTCTTAACTGAACCTCTTCCCCGCCTTCACTTTGCCGCGTGCTAGAAGTCCCTGGCTCACTGTCACTGAGGCACGTTTCACTAGAGTCCTCCGGACCCTCGCACGAGCTCCGAGACAGGGAGCCGAGGTGGCCTTTATCAGAGTGGTGGTGCTGATATAGGCTCTCCTCTGTGGTTTGTTCGTCTTTGCTTTGTGATGGCTGGTCAATGGTCTCCAGTGTGTGGCTGATGATGGTGTCCTCCATACTGGACGATGAGGAGAACGTAGTACTGCTCCAGTGCTTTACCCCACCCGACTGAGCTCTGCATGTTCTACACAGCTGCTTGTCCTTGCCTACGTCTTCGGGCCGCAGGGTGTTTGCTCTGTACGGAGACGAAGTCTGAAGGGCTGGAGGCGGTTGGCAGCTCTCGTGTTGACGACTGCACATCTCCTGACTGTCCCCGTCTACGCTCCTCCTGCCCGCTTCCCTCCCACAGTAATCGATCTCATCGGAGAGCACAGACGGCCGGTTGGACAGCTTACTGGTGCATGTGCTGTTTTCAAAGCTGTCGCTCAGTCGATAGGCCAGTGGCTGCAGCTCGTATTGCTCAGGCCCTCTGCCCTCGCCTCCCCCTGCTCCAGTCTGTATCTGTCTCTGCTGACATTGGTGGTCAGGGTAGAGAAAGCCACCTGCTTCTTTGTCGTAACTCCTCCTCACTCTAGATCTGCCGAAGGCGCCGTTAGCTGACGAGGAACCGGGCTCGGCTGCCGTGCAAGAGGACAGCATGCCGTCGTCGTGATCTGAGAAACATGGCAGCAAGATCTTGCCGCAGTTTTTCTGGGGTCCAAAAAAGCAGCACAGGGACTGGAAAAAGAAGGTTGCGAATCCGCATGCTACACATTTCACCAAAAAGAGAAAAATCCCAAGTTTTCGGAAAGGCAAGACCGTGGCGGGCAACATGATGATCCCCATTGAGAAAAAGGCACCAGAAACTATTGCTACAGGACATCCCATTCTTTTAGTGGAGTGCGCTACTTTGCCAATTTTGTCTGAATGAGGAGCCATGCTGTAGGAAATGCAGTAGTTGGCAACAAAGTCAACAGACAGCCCTGCTGCTGCTGATATGAACAGAGCCTCGATGCCACTCAGCTGCCATTCAAGAAGGACAAGGAGGCTGATAGTGACAAAAACACTCCCTCCCACAGCTACGGTCCCATATATGCTCAGCAGAATACTCCAGGTGGTGAAGAAAAGCGAAGCGAACGTGAGAGCTATTGAGAAGCCAGCTATCACCAGAGTCTCTGAGCTCAAAGCTTGTTGCAGGTCAAAAAGAGACAGGTGACTGATGAACCAGCCGTTCTCCAGCCCGTTGGGCGCGCCCGACATTTCCCTGTCAAACCATGACAGGATTTCTCTGTAGAAGAGGCTGGTTCGGCTAAAGTTAAAGCTGTAGAGGTATGTGGTTTTGAATGACAACACCAGGGCAGCGACCCTGCCATCTGGCTGGAAGTACAGGCCTCCGCTGTGGGCCAGATGGCCCTCGGCATACCTCTCCACCAGCATCATAGTGAGGCACTTCTCGAAAACGCCAGCAGGGTAGGGGAAAGGGATGTCGTTACAGCAAAAATGGAGGGAGTCATTACTCTCTGAGCAGCGTCTGACAGACACCCACCGCGTTAGCTGCTCCACGAGGCAGATATTGTCTGTCGTAACGTCTCTATCCTCAGGTGACGGAGGAGAGTAAAAGCTTTGGTTCTGAACCCGCCCACATAAATCCCTCAACCAAACCTGGGCGTCCGGCCGGCTCATGTTAAAGTCCGGGTCAAAAATTAAAGAGCCATTGCTCTTGGGGTTAAAGTGATCCCCGTTATCAGTTGGTTTTACACCCCAAACGAGCCTTAACTCAACGGCTTTGTCTTCGCCATTCCTCTGCCTCTCAAACATGAACATGTGACGATACTCTGCGTCATACCTTTCAAACGGGTGATTGGAGCGGAAAAGCTGGGCCACCCTGCTGTTTAAGGTGGGCAGCTTCATGCCTGGGTCAATGCAGGACATGTACGTGCCCCCGGCAGCCAGCACTGCAAACCAGCACACCCAGATGTACCTAAACTTCACCACTCCACAGGGCAGGATTTTCAGAAACAACAAATTGGAAGTGTCGCTGAGACCTCTCTTTAATTCTCTCAGCTTCTGCCCGAGAGCGAAGAGGCATCTCTTGCGCACGCTGGTATCCCAGAAGTCCCCGGCGTTCTTCGAGCAGCATGGTTTCCATCCCTGCGCGGCTACGGACGCAGAGGACGCTTCTGTGTGGCGCTCGCGCAGAATGAAGGCGCACGGCAGCCAAACTAACGCCATGATGGAGCTGATAAAGGAGGAAGTTCCCAAATAAACAGAGAAACATCGGATCACTGTGATGCTGCTGAGATAACCAGAGAAAAATGCTGCGCTGGAGGTCAACCCCGACGCTAAAATTAAATACCCAACTTCCTGCAAAGCTCTGTTTACCCTCTTCTCGAGGGAGGCGGACGGATTCTGCGATAGCTGCAGATTCCAGAAATCGGCAAAGATGAATAGCTGATTAGAGCAACTTCCCAAGATAATAAGAGCTGCTGAGAGGTTAACCAGCGGGAAGAATGTCAGGCCAAATGCTACTTTATAGAAGAAATAGGAGGTCAGGAGGGAGCCTGTGATCGCTATCAAAGATAATGCTACCATGAAAAGGGAGTGGAGATAAAGAGCCATGGTGAACAGAAGAGAGGCAACCGCTAGCACGGGGTAGATCGCATCTTTTGCCAGGTAATACTTGAAAAGCCTCTGCTTGATGCCGAAGTCCATGCCAGTGATGGTGGTGTTGTTGTACCTCAGTTCCCGACCCTCAAGACTGTTCATGTACATCTCCATCATGTGTTCGCCTTTGTCGACGGGCAAGAACAGAAGGCTGTACTTCAGCGTCGGGATCTGGTATTCAACGGTCTGCGGGCTGAGGAAGTCTTTATCAACCAGGAAGTGGAGGATTTGGAACACCACACGAGACTCTTTGCAGCAGGACGGGACAGAGGAACAGACGCCAAGTTCGGGTCTCTCAACGCAGGCCTCCACCAGATGTCCCTTGTGATAGTAGGGTCCACATTTCCGGAGAAGGTTCAAAGACTCGGACACCTAAGGGGGAGAAATAGAAGAAAAAACAAGCATCAGACATTAAAACATAGTCAACGCAATCCAGAGTTAGTTTACTGCAGGAAAGTTGGATGAGAAGATCATTCTCACACTCAATTGTCACACTTATTGTCTGGTACATTCGTAATGGGAGGAGGAAGCTACAGAACCTGGTGTGAGGTGAGACTGAGGCAGCAGGAGGCGTTGGTGAGGACAGCCAAGTAATTCCCCAAAGACCAGCTTGGACAACAGCCGCCTCTGGCCGTTCCGTCGCCCCCCCCCCTCACATGCTGCTGGCACAAGTCCTGGAACTGAGCCTGCGAGCGAATCTGCGTGAGACCAGTGAAAGATCTTTTGAACACATGCCCATTTGAAACAAACTCACAAAGAAATGACTTAATTTAAGACAGGGAAATGGACATAAAGTTTCTTTTAGTTTCTGTCAGCATTTAAAGATATTAAAGGGAGATGATTGAAGACGTGACGAAAAAAGCAAAAGTGAGGGACTGAGTATAAGGGAGCGAACCCTGGATTGCTCCATCTCACACATGGCGTGAATGGCCTTCAGACTCCAGAGACTGGCTGAGTTTTCCGATCGAAACACCAGTTGAGCCAAGCGCTCGCCTGCTTGGAGAGAGACAGATGGCTTCAACATACAGGAGATGGACAGCTGTGGACAGCATCACTTTGTTTGAATTGAGAGAATAGTTAAACCACTGTCAAACTGGGCGAGAAACACATTTGTGCCTGTTTTTAATTAAAATGAGGCTCAATGCTCGGAACTGCTGACGAATCCATTTGGGGAGCTTTCTGTATATTTACAAGGCGGACCAAAATATGGTCTTTGATGTGCCAGCACACTATTCCAAAAATACAGCCAGAGAGAAAAATCTCAGATAACCTGGAAAATGAAATGCATTAGAACAGTTATTCAAGTCTTCTTGGCATCTCCGTAGTTTTCCGTTACTTTTCATTTAACCAATAAGCTGTAACTGTTGTTTTTACTGTTTCCATTAGTTTGCCTGGAGTGCTAATTATTCCCCAACAAGCTGAAAGGCTTTGCCTTCAGCACACAGGATTTGCATGTATGAGTTACTCAAATGGTGAATAAGCACTCATTCCATTTCCATTGTTTTACTATTATTTTCTTGCTCTGTTGAGGATGCCGGAGCCATTAGTGCAACAAAACCTTCCTGACTTTTGCAAATTCTCAGAAGTCTACGGTTAGGATTCTGCGTTCTTATTGTCACTTTAAATATGAGGCATTAGTTCATCATCAGTGAATGAAGAGCTTGAGCAACCAATCAGGACGGACTCACCTGGAGCATCGCAGAGGAACGTGTCTGGAGACGAGTCTCTGGCCAGCATCCTCTTGATGCGAAGCCTGGGGGCCTCATGGGCGCCACTGCCGTCCCCGCTGACAGCACCCTCGAAACTAGCGCAGAATGACACACATGTGCCCCTTTTTCAACCGCAGTTATACTCGTTATGTTGTCTCACAATGGAATGATTTTAAGCCTGAATTAATAACCCAACTGGAACGCATTTTCACATACTGACAGAGTGGAGCAACATTCATTTGAAGCTGTGTTTACGGCTACCTGGAAAACATAAATCAATATCATGTTTAGTTGTGTGTGAAATATCTCCCATATGTCCCTAATCTTACAGCTATTAGCTTCATTATTTTTTATTTGTTTAAAATCTTAGCTTTACATACTTTAATGTAGTAGATAGTTGTCTGTTCATTAGGCCTTTGTAGGTCTATGTACTCTGCTTGTGACCTTGCCTGCATTTATTATTGCATTGTTTGCTGTTTTGTGCTGAATCTTGAGTGTGAAATAAAAGTTGATTGATTGATTGATTAATGTTCTATGTTCTTACGTCAATAGTGTTAAAAAAAAAGATCATACTCATATTCTTAAAGCCAAGAACAGTTACATGTGTAAGCTGTGGTGGACATAAGCCTCAGACAAAATGTTCCTGTTTCAGAGTACCCGACCCCGTGCACACAGCATGGCGACACAGATTTGTAAATGTGGTTCAGTCATTGGAACGCATGCTCTCGTGCACGCCCATGAATCCCTCTGCTGACCTTCTACTGAGCTGCGGAGGTAAACGAGACAGTTCTCTGCCCGGCCCAGTGTTCTCCTGCAGCTCAGACAAGCTTGACTGACGAACTCCGATGTGTGTTCCTCGTGGCTTGAATCCCTGAAAAAAGAACACACACACACACACACACACACACACACACACACAAGCACATCAAAGCTAAAAACAGTGCAGAAGCTTACTGAATAAATCAGCATCATAAGCACCCTTTAATGTTATCTCAATTAACTTGTTTGGTAAATGAGTGTTTGATGTTATCTGAAAAAAGGCCCACACTCATGAATCCATCATATCTCATTCATATGTATTTTTTCGTTGTTTTGATTAATTTATGTTAAATAGATCAGGCTGACATCTTGCTAAGGGGGTAAGGGAGGTTTGTGTGTAGACTTTACAGAGGATCGACTGTAGATGTACTGTACATGTGCTGCACCATGTGGACTGCGAGTTTTAGACACTGTGCTTTTGTCTGTGTGTGTGTGTGTGTGTGTGTGTGTGTGTGTGTGTGTGTGTGTGTGTGTGTGTGTGTGTGTATCTTTGATAGTCACCAGCAGCGGGTCAGAGAAGTCGGGCAGTGGACCAATGAGGAGTCCAGCTAGCGAACATCCCAGCAGCAGCACGGCACAACTCACCAACACTGCCAACGGGTAGTCCACTATCACCTGGGAATAACTGACGAAAAGAAAACCCCAAAAAAGACATGTCACTGGGTAAATAATAATAATTATAAACCATTTTAATTTTGTTAAATCAGTTTGAGTACTTACTTTCTCAGGATGCAGTAGACTCCTCTGTCCCTGTTAACAGTTGAGAAACGTTCTAATTATTTGAAAACGTTTCTACACACAATGTTCTTTCCGCTTAATCCGTGTGCTGAAAGCTGAGCTAACGAGCCTCTCGGGGGCAATAATCATCTGATCTGACTCTTGGCCTGAACCCAAGCACATTTCCCTAAATGCAGTACAGTCACTGGAACACACCTTACTGTCACCACATGCCTCTGCGTCGGTTTCTGAGTCCTGCTCTCGTTTGACCCACGCAGCCAATGACATCTCACCGCGCCGTGACGAGTCGTCTGATGGGCAGAACGACGAGCGTGTTCCACCGTCACATCGCCTCCTTCGCCGTGAGGACCTGCTGTGTTTGAAGGGCGGTCGCGGCAGGCGTGTGGTTTGATTGGACCGAAATGGCAGCGGTTGGGACATTTTCGGGGATTTGGCGAATTGTAGGCCCCAACTTGAGGACCCCGGGGGACCTGATGAAGGAAGGAAGATAGAAAATACAGATGCCGAATATATGATACAGAAATTGTGTTTATCGTTCATGTCATTTGAGTGATTATGACCACTGCCGCCCAAATCCTGGATCTATTCCTACCAATTCTGTCTTAAAGAGTCCCTGAATTTCTACCCTAAACAAGCACACAGTACAGTCAGCGCCCGGGCATACTTGGTGATAAAGTTGGCAGGAGGAAGAGGGTCTGTCCAGGCTGCTGCAGCTGTCACAAAGCTCCCCTGCAGACCGGATGACTGTCAACTGGGCCTCGGCTGAACACTCGCTGTCAGGAGGGCACAGACACACGGCCGGGATCTCGCTGAGGACGGGAAAAGACGGACAGGAGGAGCAAAAGACGGGTGAGAGGGCGCGAAAAAGAGAAGGTAGGTAAAATATGGCTCCAGGAGAAGAAGGATGAACAAAAAATGAAGATGCAAAAGTTGAGTCAGTGAAACTAAGCAGAAGGAGATGTTTTTAAAACGCATTGCAGCTATTTCATTGATCGACATCTCAGGTTCAATGGAGAGTTGAGCGCATTCAGCTGAGTTAATGAGGTAAGCAAATGGGCTTCTGGGTAAGGCAGCGCTGGAAGTAAGGAGACCCAATTAAAGAAGAAAGGAGGCCTTGAGCAAAGTAGAAGGCAGAGTGAAATCCTCTTTTAACATCATCTCACAGACCCCATAATGAGAGAAGCACCTGTCAAAGATAGACATGAGTGAGTGAGGAATTATGGGTAATGGCAGCAATCAGGAGAGCCCCGGAGTGAATTATGTTGTACAGTTTCAACGTATCCCTTTCTCATGCTTAAAATAATACCGCTGAAAATGATCTATTTTCAGCCACACGAGCAGCTGGCTCCAGATGTGGACGTACTGGTTGGCCCATCGCTTTGGTCCATATTGAAACGGAACCATTAAGTAGATTGATAACAATGTGCAGATGAATCCCGGTGACTTTGGTGACCCCCAGATATTTTTCACAAGATTTGAGGATTTGAGGTTTTGAGTGAATTAAATTCACGGGGTATTTCCATACTTAGACACCCAAACATAGAAATATGAAACACCTTTATCCAAAATTAAGAGAAAATTAAAGAGGTTGCTTTAACCTTAAGGTGTGGGGGGGTGGGGGGGGGGTGTAGATATGATCACAGTCTTGACTTCCAGTCAGAAAGGATCATTTAGTTTAATTCCTCATACATCCACAATTTAGATTTTTAAGAATTCCTGGATGCTCATTGTATCATACATATGTAAACAAACTTTACTAAATAATGCTCTGGTTGTCTCTGAAGGGGCCGTGAGGTCTGTGTCTTCTACCATATGCTGGATTTTCCACAGTAGACTGGATCCAGCCACACTTCCTGCCTTGTCACCATGGCGACAGAGTAAGTCAACAGAGCCTAAAAGAGATCACACTGTTTCATTTGCATCCCATCATTTGGTGCACAGATCCGGTGTGTTCTCTCGGTTTGTTGGTATACAGTAGCAGAGGTAGTGGAGCTCATCAAGGACCCGAATCTCTCTGTTTTGTCTTTGTAATAATTGATTTTTTTCAAATGTTCTAAATAATAAATAGGCCACGTTGTTCTCAACAACCTTCGGCACATAGCAAATGTTTGTAATCTTCTTTAACCTATTTAGTAGCTGGGGTGAGTAAATACACTCATAAAGACTATATGGAAATCAATTCAACATTGTAACACTTTGGCATTATCTCCATCAATCCACAACTGCACGTAAAATAGATGTTAAATTATTAGTGGTGTGTAACATGTGACTAACAGCCGCTCCGTATTTAATCCCATGATGGTTCTTCAAGGAGATGGTCGACATCGTAACAAATGAGGGGAGAAACGTGTGCTAATATTTATATTTCAAAAAATGAATACTAAAATATATTCAGGATGGTGTCACAGAGCTGCACTCTGTAGTCGCAATAAAAAAAGACACTCATTTTCCCTGATGTCAGAATGACTGCATTGGTTTTAGCTGCTAAATAAATGCAGTAGTGGAGGAATTACACAATTACATTATATTGTGTAAGTGGCCTTTTGCAGCTGTAGTTAGTCAATAGTCGGATAACGCTAAGTCATGTGTAATCTCCTATTTCAGTTTGTAAAATGTAAATTTGTAAAGCAAAAAACAAAGTACAAGTAAGACAAATGTGTGCTTCGATACACGTGCATTTATATTTTGGTAAATTCTTCTTAAGAATAATTGTAATCCCTTGCAAACAAAGTTAGACTGATTCGGTTGTTCGAATGTGCACTAAGCTAACATATAATAATAGTAGGGATAGAGGAAAGCGTTAAGGCATTAAAAAGACAAAAATATCCACAACTGGCTAAAGACTGCCAGCTCTTGCTGCCATGTGCCATTAGGTCTCTGTCGCTCTTCCTTCAAACGGCACATCCATCTCTGGATGTCAGTCAATGTCACGTCCTCAAACATCCCCTAAAATGCCAATCAAATAGACACATGAGAGGAAAAAGCACAAAAGCTGCATTCAGGGAGCAGACTCCTAAAAAAAGAGAGCTTCTGCGTTATTGAGAGGACAAAGACTCGAGGGTCTGCCGTCAAATCGGGAGAAGACACAATTGTGGTGGGTTTTCTGATGTGAATGGTGGCAGGCCTCAGCTGTTCCCTGCCACACTTTCCTCTTCGTAGCCCCTTGCCTTCCAGATTTTGTCATATATATATTTATATACAGTAGCCTAAATAGATCCAACAGGAGGTTGTTGACGCTGAACTGATCTTGCAATTGTCCAGTTAACGTGCGGGTGGGACTGCATAGATTGCATGTCAAAGGCCAGCAATAACAGCATTACCTTTTTTTATGACATGGTGATAAACTATAACTGGAAGTAGTAGCTCTTGCTTAACATGGTGCTAACACACGTTGTGAGAACATGGATTAAGTAATGATATTTGTCCAGCATGGCCAAGCCTTGGCTTCATCAGCAGTACAAATAATCAGGAATGAATGATGCCATGTTAAAATGTGTCAGCAGTAATCATATCATAATCCTATTGTCGACAGCATGAACTCAGCTGGATGAACGATACTCACATCGGCCACGGGAGGGTTAAAACATCACATCCACGTCTACAATTGGCAATGCCATTTATCTTTCTAAGGGAAGCACCTGATAAATGCACGGACAAGAAAAGGCAACCCACCTCTGGCGAGGCTCCTGGATTCCCCTTTCATCCGTAGGAGAATCATCCATCACTATCGCGTCCGTGCTTTCTCCTCTCATCGAGCGAGCCTCCATCTCCTGTCGGCGCTTTAAACAACTAATTAAAAACAAACAAATGCAAGGCTTTTATCCCATGAATTTCATCCTATTTAGAATCGCGCCAAGCAAGCAGTCTCCGTCTGCTGCGGAGGGACTCCACGAGGACCGGGAGCTTGTTTCTGAGGCTGGGTACTACGGAGCAGCACCGGGGCTGTTTGGGTTAATCTGCCCCCGAGCCTCGCCCTGATTGGTCGGAGGCGCGGTGATGCTGAGGCCGGCGCCGCGTCGCTGTCCAACCGGCCGCGGTGCTGGAGCGCCGAATCACGCTTGTCGGCTTAATTGGTTCAGACTTGCAGCTACATATGCAGTTTTAAGCGAGTGCGTTGAGAAGGTGCACAGAGAGGGAGGCTGTGTTCAATTAAAAGCAACGCTTCGTTGGGACCCGCAGCGACTCATCGCCATTGTACTGAACGTCGTGTCAGAGCTGATTAGTCGAATCTGGACTATTGTCCCCTGCCACGTATTACCACCCATAAGAAGAATACTTGGTTTCCTATTAAGACAAATAAAAGGCCTCATACCGTGTTTGCACCGTGTACAATTTGTAACTTGTTGTTAATGATGAATAACGTCCTTTATTAATCAGAAAATACGCCTTAAGAAAAGGACGATGTTTGGGTTGCCAGGTTGGGAAAATCCCTTGTGAATAGACAGACTGTTTTTATCTTTACAAAAAAACAAAATGCATTTTTCACGAGCTGCAGACTTTGGATAAAATGATTAACACCAGGTGGCCTATTAGATAGTGAGGACGCTACTGGCCTTATTAATGGATTACTATACTGCATTATTAGCGAATATAAAAGTTGAGCAGGAAAGGGATATCAAAAAGAAGAAGTTATTTTTCTTTCAATTGTATAACTGTTCCCATTATTACATGATGAGTTAATCATTACCAAATCAAACGTATTAAGAACCTTTTGCCCATATCTTGTGATTCATCATCATATCTTAACTTATACCATACTTGTGAATACGCCTCCATTTCCCTCTCAAATAGTGAAATACAAAGACAAGAATAGTGTAATTAGTTGTAACCAAAAAGTAGCTTTACTGTGTCCTAAAAAAAGAAACAAGGTAAACTGCAGGCACTGATGCACCGTTTACACAATGCAGAAAAGTGAGCAGAGAAAAGTTAAGAGGGAAGAAAAGAAAAAAAGGTACAAGACTGTTTATTTTTATTAAGAGAAAAGGGAGCCAGAGCCGAAAAGCAAAAGAGGAAGTAGAAACAGTGACTTTCTGCTAATGAGGCTGCTGCTGTTCTGGCTTTGGTTATAAATATGAATCATGGCACTGGGCCCTTGTGTTTGAGGGGCCACGTTGTGAAAAAGGGAAATGATTCATTGGAGGAAAAGCAAAGATCAAGAGGAGGAGGGTGTGCTCAGATTTTGAGGGAGCGGAGCAGAAAGTCCTATTTCATGGTTTTAAATGAAAATCTATATTTTGTTCGCAATCATTTATATCTGTTAGTGCCGCGTTGAGCGATGATGCTCAAAACTGATTCAAACATACAAAAGTAAATGGGAGCTGCCTTAAGAGAGGCCATTAATCACAGCTGGTCAGTCTGTGTTGGCGAGGGGTTTATCCATCATGTTCCAATGATGACGTTGAGTGGACCCATGAGCTTAAACCCTTTCTTAACAATTGCCATGCGCAAGGTTTCTTTTTTTTGCTTATGTTTGGGAAACGTTGCCCTGAGATTAAAACAAAAGGATAGCCGCGTTGGCGGATGCCGTGGAGTTTTCTCATGAGCCTGTGTTGCTGCTGACGTGGCTAATGCCTCGTTGACTTCAGGCACTGATTAACTTGCTCGCTGTGTAGTAGCCACCAACATGCACTAACAAGAAAAGAAAAGAAAAAAACAATACACATGCATTCAAATCCTGAGAGGCACAGACTGTGTTACACACACACACACACACACACACACACACACACACACACACACACACATGCACACACAGAAACATAATGAGAGGCTGGAGAGAGGGTGTTTGGCTTCTGGCTCCTACGAGGTGACAGCCATGGTAATTTCCTGTGGCAGATTTCTACCAATGCTTTTTTGCAGCTTCGGTTCAATGAAGCAAACACAGCTGGGTGAATAATAAAGATACAACAGGAGATGGGAATGGACCGTGTGGACACAAAGAGCAGTGTACTGTGGACTTGTGCAAACCTGCTGTCACAGTAACACAACGCTTGTGTTAACAAATCCACCCTTAAGAGGTCATTTTTAAGTCAAGACAAAAAGGGGTTTTGCTGCCACCTGCTGGACAGATTCGGAAGGTGACTGCAGTCCCACTTTGTCTCTCCATAATAACAAATCACATGACATGAGACTATAATCATACTTTTTGTAAATTAACCAGTACGCATATTGAAATGCATTTATTTCAAATGTAATACCAACATCTAAGTTCAAAATGTTTCTCTCTCTCTCTCTCTCTCTCTCTCTCTCTCTGTTTAATCCAAAAATGCAGTTTAATATTCTCCCGCCGCGGCTCTTCTTACGCTGCTGATTGCTGTCGTAAAATCAGCTGCGCAGAGCACTTCTTAACGCGCGCGTTATGTGACAACATGAGGTCGAGCTCTCCGGCGAGGTTGTTGAGCGGGTGTAAAGTTACGAGCGCGCAGGACACACCTCCGGGGGGGGGGGGGGAGTTCCCGGGGAGGTGGAAACAAGGAGCCGACGATCACTTCTGCAGCAGAGCAGCGTGAGGCGTCCTTTCAGCTGGAGGCCGTGCGTCTTTTCAGCAGCGGCCGTGCCACGAAGATCGCACAATGGCCGGGATGGGCAACTCTTTACGCGCGGCTGCCCTCCTGGCTTTCGTGGTTCTCTCTATTCTGGTGTCACTCTTGATCAGCAGCGTGCAGCAGTTTGGAGGGACCGTGTCTTACGTTTCCAATGCGACTGTTGCTGCTGATGAGGAGGAGTTTGCGTCCCTCCGCGGGGCGTTGATTCACCAACTCAGCGAGAGGCGAAAAGAAATCATTCCGCTGCTTTTACCTGATTATCATGTTGATGGTGGGGATGAAAACGGACTACCCGGGGACAGCCCACGTTCTCTCCACAATGTCCAAACACAAGACTCGACTTTGGATTACAGCCTGTGGAACGAGATCGCGCATGGCTCCAGGAAAGCGCGCATGGATGAAATGGACTGCGACTCTCTGGTGGACATGCAGGCTGTGGAGATCCTCGGGTCGGGATACACAAAACTGGGTGTCAAAGTGAATCTAGCCGGCGGGCAGCCCGTGGCGTTGAAACTCGTCAATGAGCAGGGCATAGACATGGGGAAGTGTGTGGAGGATTTCAGAGACCCTCGAGGCTGCCGAGAGCTTGTTTCCTACAAGCTGAAGAAAGAAATAGTCCTGTTACAGAGGCTGCAGCATCCCAACGTCATTAAGGTAAAGGTGCTCCCTCTGTCTGCTTTGTGTAAATTCCTTCATTTAAAGGCTTTTGTAAATGGTTGTTATACCCCTACTGTCCAAATGACGAAGCAAGATAAGGAGGAATATATGTGAATGCAAAGTAAAGCGTCATAAAGGCTGCTTACGTCAAAACGCAAGAGCTAATAATTTGATATTATTATTATTATTATTATCAAGAGGTTTTCCATAATACATGTAGGCCTTCCCACTGCTCCGTCTCCTTTGTCTCAAACACACTGAACTGGATGAAAGGCCTCACTGGCTCTGCAGGACCTTCCCATGTAATTAAATTAAATTCACTGACCCTCTTCTGACCTTTTGGGTCCAGTTTGGCGAGAGCAGACAATGTGCTTCTGTCCCTTCTACAATCCCCGGTTACATCTGAAACCCCCACAGAGTTTATTCACTCAAATCATTACAGCCCAATTTAGCTAGTTTTGAATTAAACCGGCCAGTTTGTTTCTCCGGCGGTGGTGGGTGACAGCGCTGTGTCCAGCGGCTCAAACAATTTGACACGTGTAAAGAGCACACTATCCTCCAGGCTGATGTGATTTCACTGTCACAAGTGTGCAGAGAAAACAGCATGTCCTCCAAATACCTCCTACGACCACAACCTTCAGACACTTTAACTTGTTAGTAAAAATGCAAAATCCATCATAATGAACTTGATTGTTTTTTTTGTTGCTCTACTTCACTTTCACTAATTTGCATTCACTCTGCATTTTGACAGCTCAAAGGTCACTGTGCAGAAGGAAGAGGAGGAGAGGATGGAAGAGTCACGGTCATTCTGGAGCAGGGGAATCCTCTCCAGATGATCCAGCTTCTCCAGAGTCCCTGGGAGGACAGATTCAGGGTAAGCGCGTTAATCCTGATAGACTCTGCCGTTTATTCTTCGCGCTCCACCGCTAGCACACATTTGCGCGCCCTACGTGTGCGAGCCTTCGCTTTTCTTGTCAGGAGAGAAGGAGCGTGTAAGATGAGGGAGGCGGACGTTAGAAACTCCTGGCGGTTCCGACATCTGTCCCTCCGGTGTATTTGATCAGGCCGCGGTGGGAATGGAGATGGGTCCTGGAGTTAATCCACTGCAGGCTAGGAATGTCATCACACACACACACACACACACACACACACACACACACACACACACACACACACACACACACACACACACAGTTTTAGTCAACCCCCATCACAGGTATGCTCACAGTTGGAGTCAACAGAGGCTGAATTTGCACTCCAGGGATCCAGTGTGTGTGTGTGTGTGTGTGTGTGTGTGTGTGTGTGTGTGTCTGTGTGTTCGCGCATGGAAGCGTTTGAATGGGGAACATTTTTTTTCAAAAAGAAAAGACTTTTGGATTAGCAAAAAGTAACATCACAGTCTGCCACTATCATCTCAACTCTGGGCCTCATTTTGCTGCATCACCCAAATAGCCGTTCATAATACCCCCCTGAAGCTGCTCGGCCTCTTTCAGCTTGGTTGCATCTGCGCAAGCTACAGTAATCCGCTGGTGTTCGGTTTCGCCCAGCCCTGTTATTACAGTGCTTCGATCCCAGCGAAGTGACGTCCCAGAGACTCTGAGCATTACCCAACACTGGAGCTGTGTTTGTAGTGTGACAGAATCATTTCATGCTCCGTCAGTGCATGGCTAATGCTTTTGTGTTGCCTTTAGCAGCCTGCTTATTTTCCCTCAGTTTTATTGTAGGATTTAGAGAGTACTATAAAAGCAGTCTCTGGAAATGGCTTGAAAATGTGGCTTCAGCAGTGTCTTTTCGTACAGCTGGTGTTTTTTAAAATATTTTTCCATTTTTAGCGGTTTCGATTTTTCAGGAAAAAACAATTCCACTTTTAGCTTGACCTTTTTGGTCATTCCAGTATTTTAAGTAGCAGGAAGCACTAATATTTGTTAAAAACACAAAAAACTAAACCCTTATTCAAGCTACAAGTAAGACATTTTTTTTCATTACTGTTTTTTTTTGTTTGTTCTTTGCACCATGTAACACTTTTTTACTAAGGAAAAAAAATCCATATTCCAGGTTCTCCAATTTGATTTCTTGCTGTTTCAAATCTTCCATGATAGTAAACTACTTAGAGGTTCGGGATTGTGAAATTACATTTTATGAACAAGGAAATCGATATAAAGTATTCAGATTGAATGATGATGAAAATAGCATCTGCAGGAGTCATTTACTCTTTAAGCTCCCAGAGCCTGAAGCAAATGCAGGATATTAGCAGATCCCCACGTTGAAAAGTTGGAAGCAGTTAATGTTTTGCATTTTTCCCGTATAAAGGACTTCTTGTTATATGGTTTTGGGGGCTGCAAGGACAATATTTTACTTTTTCCCTGCGATCCCGTGCAGTTCCCAAAAAAAAAAAACGGTCATCAATCCAGCTGATCAGGTTTTGTCATGTCCGATTTCCTCCCAGGTGTGTCTGGACCTGGTGCGGCTCCTGCACTTCCTGTCCGATTCCCCGCTGGGCTCCGTGGCCCTGTTGGACTTCCAGCCCCGGCAGTTTGTCACAGTTTCCGGCCAGTTGAAGCTCACGGACCTGGACGACGCCAGCGCCGCTGAGACCTCCTGTCGGACGCACGCGGACTGCACCCTCCAGTTTCCACACAGAAATTTCACCGTGCTGTGCTCGGCACGGGGAATGTGTGAGGGCCTGAATGAGAAGAGGAACATTTACAACGCCTATAGGTAAGAGAGGTGACAGTTTTACAGCGCGTTAAACGCGTGATGGATGGATGGACGGACGGCACGGCTGCGTAGATGATTGCTTTTAATACAGGCGTTGTTGATAGTTAACACGTGCAGCTGGAAATGTGCAGTTTGATTGAAGTGTGATGAATAATTGGTAGCTTCAGTGGAAGAAAAAAAAAAAAAAAGAAGACGTTTTCTGTTTGAAAACGGACAGCTTTATGGATTGTGTTTGTTTTAACACCAGGGTGAGACAAGTCATGTTCTGTTGGAACTATGCGCTTGTCTGTCTTTCCGTCTCACCGACTGAGTCGTCTTTGTCTGGCCCCAGGTATTTTTTCACCTACCTGCTGCCTCACCAGGCCCCGCCTGGCTTCACACACCTGGTAGACCACATCATGAACTCCACAGGTGAGGACGAGAGACGTCTCGACACGACGGGACGTTCACCGCATGAGATCAGAGAGCCAATCACTCCGTCGTTGCAGTCGAGTGATGACATGCCTCGTGTATAAGTTTATTTTTTAATGAGCTCGACAAGATGCTTCCTGACATGTAACATGGTAATGAATAAAATATCTGTTGTGATGACACGACTGTGATTAGACAGGAGAAGCCTAGCGAGGGAAGAACAAATCATCCGTATTGGATAGAATAACTTTTATGACTGCAGTTAGTTGGGTCTTCTACTCAATTTTAATCCAGTGCGTGTGTGCAGGGGAGCTGAAAGCTGACATCAATCAAACGCTGGAGGCCTTTGAACACATCCTCCTCCTCTACAAGTCTGGCCTGCACCTGGACAACCTGCCTCCATCAATAATCGGAGGTAAGCGCTAGTGGAATGAAAGCTGCTTTTTATAAAGCGCAGGGGGCCCAGTTGTAGACCCTATTCTTCCTGAAGAGAATACTTGGCTTTTTGCACAGTCTACACCTCTGTTTTCATTTTTTTTTATCCTTTAAACTAAATTAAGGGGGGAGGGAGGTTCCTCCACACAGGCTGTTTTGACAGGTTTATTAGGCAGCTGGAATGAGTGGACAAGACCAACAAAGTGGGATTAATTCAGCATGTCTGTAGCTCAGAAAGCGCAGTCGGCGTTCATTTAAAACAACAGTGCTGGTATTATGCAGAGCTGCTCTGTTTAACCTTTCATGGTAGTCATGTAGTGATTTCTTGTCCAACGTTAAAATAATTTACATAGAGAAAAGATACACTTGCAGAATAGTCTTATAAAGACACGTTTCGTCAGCACAAACAGTGGAAATCCTTCGCTTTCCTTCTCTTCGCTCTCTCCACCGCAGCCCCCCCCCCCCCCCCCCCCCGCTCACTTTTGGCTTTTCTTTTTAGATATTATACCGGATGACTGGCTGCGTTCGGTGGTGAGATTTCGGCCCCCCCCCCCTAGATGCTGGACTGTTTATAAGCAGCGCTTGGGAATTTTATTCACAGATTCGCGTAAAGAGGACCGGGCGCTGATTTGGACCCCGGGGTGGGGGGGTTGGTAGCTTACCAAGGGGTGCCGGAGTTCGGCCCTGGCTGCTGTTTTTCGTGTGTGATAGAGGCGTCTGTGTATTCTGGGATTATATGGTGGGTTTTTGTTAATATAAGAGGTGTTTTTTTGGGTTGAGCCAAGTTTTGCAAACCTTTATGTATTCCGGTTTTAATGCGCAGGAGTAGGATGAGATGATTACCCCCCCCCCCCCCCCCCCCCGTACAGTGTGTGGAAATATGCAGCTTCCGCCAGCAGCCGGTTAAAGAATCTGCAGCGCCTTTGTGTTACCCATTGAAAATACTTCCTTCTTCACAATGTCTTTACTGGCTGTCTGTAAGTCCAAGATACGGTGCATCCCATGACCCCCTGTCAAACTGCTTAATGTCTTTCTTACAATTTGGACATTGCACTGATTAAACAAGCGGGACATTGTGTGTTAATTGGTGAACTTTTAAGGTAGTTTTGAATGGATTTTTATACCACTCGACAATACCCACGCAAGCCGTTTCCAGTCTTTCTCCGAAGCAAAACTCACCACCTTCTGATGTAAGCTTTATATTTAGTGCTCAGACATGTGCTATTAATCTTCACGTCTAATTCTCCCCCAAGAACGCAAATGAGCACGTTACTCAAAATGTCCAACTGTTGCCGCAAATGATTAATCAACAAGCTGAGAGGAGTTGTGTTTTAACAGACACACGGGCTCATTAATATCCCCTCCCCAAAAGGGGAAGAAGAGAGTTGCAGCCAAAGACGTAACTAAGCTTGATAAAAGAAGCCAAATGGGAACACGGCGCGTTGAGTGTGTGAGTGTGTGTGTGTGTGTGTGTGTGGGAGGAATGGTGCTCATCAAGTTTTAATTTGAAATCGCTGACGGGTGGAAATTCATTGGTAATGTTGATGTAACTTTCTCACAGCTGGGAGCATTTGTGCTTTGTTGGAAGATGAGTTGTGGGCAAAAAAAAAAAAGGCTGAACTCGTAGCGCGATGGAAATAAATCTTTATATAAATAAGAAAGGACGGATGTCTTCCCGTCGCCCATTTCAAACACAGAGAGCTTATATTCATTGGCGTCCGTCTCAACAGCTGAGGCCTTTAGCTCCCCAACAGGCCTCTTCTCTTTTTCCTCCCCACAGAAGGATCCTCGTAACACTCCTTCTCCTTGTTCCCTTTGCTCAAACTCAGAAGGCAGATCCTCGTGTCCTTTTCCTCTTAATAATCCCCCCCACACACACACACACACACACACACACACCAGCTCCTGCCATTTAGGAAGGTTAACAGTTTGTAACAGTGTTCCTCCTCCGTCCAGACTCACAGACCCAGCTTTTGTCCCGCTCTGGCGTGTGTGTGTGTGTGTGTGCGCACATACGTGTGTGCAGGCTTCTTTCTCGTGGCTCCTACTAATGTGTAGCAGATGATTTAAGACCAGATCCACATGAAGTCCGACTGAAAGAGTTATGATGATGAACGATGACTGTTCAGGCGGGAGGAAAGTAGAGTGAGGAGATTTTGTTTTTAGTGTGGAACAGCTCATTAGAGAGAGTATGTTCAAAACGGTGGGCAATCTTTAATGCAAGTCAGAGTAGATTTAACATATTGGGGTTATGGATGGACAAAAGAAGTATTTGAACTTTTTTGATCTTTCACTTTTTAAAACCAATTCAGAAAAAAAATTGGAAGATTAACTAAAAATAACTATTAGTTGCATTTGTCATAAACAGTCGGAAATGCAGTTAAACAGTTAACAGTTAAAAGGTCACTCTAAAGGTTACTTCTTACAACACAGAATGGTATGTTGAAACAACTATTTTGATGAAACAAACTTTCTTTGGTGAACAAACTACTGCCAGCTAATGTCCACCAGATGTTATCATTGATGTAATGTACCTTTTAACTTTTAAACCTGTCAATCATAACTATTTTATTTTAGGAATCCCTTTTAAGTCACAAAAGCTCTGTTGTTGCATGAAAAATATGATGTATCTTCACTTTCAACCTGTTTCCTCTGCTGCTCATCTGTATTCTCCTCGTTCGATTCCCCACAAGGATCATTAACGCTTTAAAAATGACTTTCAGTGCATTGAAGTGACCCTCTCGTCCTCTGCGGTTAGATTACGCCGTGATGCGAGGCATGGGGACCTCTGGGAGCGCGGCGTACCGCTGCTGGCCGTCCTACAGCCAGCAGGGCTGCGTGCTGTCGGTGCACGGCGCCCGAGAGGCAGCGTTCATCTGTAACTCCCACTCTCAGTGCAGCAGCTTCACTCTGACGGGACGGAAGACGTGGACGGGTCAGTCACTCCTCCTTTCATTTCTGCTGCATGGAAGCTGCTCCGATGTTGTTTATTTATTTTAAAATCAAATTGCTGGTCTTGTGAGTGTTTTCCAGCTGACTTTAATCTGCTGAACTCATTACACAAATTAAGTCAGCCCGATACTGAAAACCCTTTATGATAAAAACGTATAATTACCCACAAGATCATGTCTCACTAAGGCTGCTGAGTCAACATAGTCAGCAGCTGCTCTTTTAAATCTTTCGATGAAGCTTTTAAATGTTGAAATGTATACAGTTATCAACTATATCAAGTCGAGACATGCTACATTATTGAAGAAGCAGATGTGTGTAACACTCCCCTCTCGCTCTTTTTTTTTTTTTTTTTTCCTTCTCGTGGTGTGCAGGTCGGGTCCTGGCCTCCTTCAGCAGCGGCTTCAGTCATCTGGTGCCTGATGGGACGTCGGAGGTGTACGTGAAGAAAGCCAAAGCTCCCGAAGACGCAGCGGTGGCACGCGAGGACCCCAACGGACGAACCCAGCCTCGGCCGAGCCGCTGAGGGAGAGTCCAGACGAAAAACACACGACACGCAAAAAGATGTTGGCGCTTAAGACCGGGAAAAAAAAAAACCCTGGTGTTAACGCCGCTGGGCTTTGCAGGGCGAGCGCAGTGGCCCGAGCGTAGGCGCCGAGGTGAAGAGGCGTTGGAAGTGAGGCAAGTGAATGTGATGTATTTATAGGGCTTCTGCTCAGTGACCGTTTGATCTTCCTGCCAGCTCACTGCCTCTGCCAGCTACTATTTAAAGGGATTTCCCTTCAGGTACAATTAAGGAGGGAGAGCCTTGTGCCTTCAATGTTTCTTTTTTTTCTACCTTTATTTGCCATGTGTGTTGGCTTTCGTTGTGAGGCCGGGGTCCCCCCCTCGAATGATTTTTAAGCCAAAGAGGTAATAAGAACAGCGGCTGCAGCTCAGCATTTGAAGCCCGAGGACGAGAAAGGAAAACAAGCTCTTATACAAATACACTTTGATGTTAATGCGCTGAGGTTGTGGCTGTTTTTCATGGTTCTCTGGCTTAGCTGCGCTGTGGTATTAGATGGCAACAACCATGTAAGCATTTCCACATTAACAATGAGTAAGAAGGATTTAAAAAAAAAAAAAACATTCCCGTACAGTCTGTTTTTACATACTTTTGTAAACTTAGTTCATTTTGCTGACTGCATAGATATTTATATGATCAAATAAAATGTAATTGTTCTTACGTGATTGTGCATTTTTAGCTTAAGCACCTTGTGGGTGAAACTTTTATTTTCAATGAAAAATTATTCACTTCAGTGTTTTTTTTTTTTTTATACATCACTTGTCGTAATTGTACAGTTTTGTAATTATATAAATTTGTTGTTTCTACTTTTTGCCGTCATTGTCTGATGATTTAATTGCATTAAGCCTAGCTTTACCTAACAGCCTGTTTAATTCTCATTATCACCTTTGTTTGTGTGTGTGTGTGTGAAAGGCGGGGGAGGTGGAACTTGCATGTGTATGCTGACCTGTTTTTTGTGTGTTTTTAAAAATCCTTTATCTGCTCTCGTGCCCCCACGTTTACAATCTACGGCCCATCTGAATGGAGCCTTCGCTGCTCCTTATAGTTTGCACACTACTCGAGGAATGCATTCTAATGCCGCGTCACGCTGAGCTCATTATGAGCCTTAATTGATACGTGTAAATGAGCTTACTTACCTTCCCTTTGTCATGGTGAGAGAGGAGGTATTACTTAGACAAAGGCAGCCATCAGGACAATCAGACCTCAATCTGCGGTTTGCACACGAATGGGCTTGCCATCTGTGGCTGCCACGGGGAGCCGGTGGAGGTTGAGATAAGGGCAGGACCGAGGGGGCGGCCGGCTGAAGGATTTGTAGTCGGCGCTTGTAGCAGCCACGGAGTCGGGTGGGAGAGAATGAGCAGACCAAATACCAGTGTCCTGATAGGAGCCAGATCATTTTGTTAAAGGTCATCCCACACTCATATTTCACATATTTTCCTGTGGATGTTGGGCTGGAAATCACGTTGAAGAAATCCCAACTGATGCATAAACTAGTTGTTTTGACAGAAAAACATATTTGTGAATGTAATGACTAATTTTCCGTTCAGCTGTACCAGCACTGCTGACTTGAAAGGGCGCGTCTTGTCTACAAATGAAACTTTTATGGCCGAGACACCGGGTAGGCCTCCGGCTCCTCTTTACCTCATGTTGGCCCCTTGTTGTCTGGACAAAGCTGGCTGATTAGAGTCTGATTGTGGAGATAAGAAGTCTGAGTCAGATTAGATGAGAACAAACCACCCAGATCTCTCTGCACCGACACGGCAGGACGAACTAGAGAGACTGGTTGGAGGGCGAGTAAATAATACCCCTAGAAAATGTTTGCTTCACCTGATCTGTGGTAAATAGTCTTAAAACCTTTTTAGTGAAAGAACTACAGATGGCCGCTAACGTCCACACTGTACGTGCAAAGGACTAGTTCGGGAGGTATGCTTATTTACATTCTTGCTGAGCGTTAGATGGGAATACTGATACCCCTTTCATGCCTGTGCAGTCAGCAGCAATGTCTTTGACCCCAGCATGCCAGGGACAAGCTCGTCCCATTCTGGCTCCGAGGGACTTTCACCGATATCTTTTTCCTCACTAACAAATAAACAAAGGTTTAGAGAACTGGCCAATCAGACGCAGAGCAGGGCAGTCGATGACCTGTAGTCATTCTGAATAAATGGAAAGTGGTAAAAGTAAAACTGTTAAGCATTTTGTCAGCTTAGCACAATTTCCAGCCGTTATGCTAAACTAAGCTAAGCTAGCTGCTTAGCTTAGCATAACATAAGGTGTGTTGGTTTGAGCTCACACAAGCTTGACAAAGAGCAGAACACATTTAATGATCATTTGCAACGACTTTTTTTCCATAATGTCAAACTATTTAGTTAGTTTAGTTTCGTAAGTATCCAGATGCAAGTAACGAGTCAACGGTTAAACGCAAAAAGATGTTTTTCCAGATGATAGTAATACGCTTTACCTTATTAAAATGTGCCGCTCGTTGCTGAAGGAAATGTCTGACTGGTTTGTCGTGATGCTGCATTTTTATAGCATTGCCTGTTGCGTGCACATATTTAGGATCAAATGTTCTGAAACAAATGCGAAGCACCAACTGTTTTATTGTGTTATATCTAGTTTGTATTCCCAGTTTAACAACACTTCTTTCTTCATGTTTGAGTGGTTGGTGAGTCATAGGCATCAGAATCTGTGGTTGTTTCAGTGGAGGAATTCACAGCACAGCTTTTGTATTCTCAGTTGAGACTCAAGTTATTCCCTTTCTTTCCTCTGACTTTGTTTATTTAGCTGGAAATATGTGACGAGGTTTGAAAGTTGAACTGTTTTCTCATGAAAGTCTCTTTCTTTCTTTTTTTTTTGGCTGTGGATGTTTTTCAATTTTTGCATCTTGGTGAAACTTTTGAAACCATCATGTGGTCCTGCTCTCCCCGTGGTCACGTGTGGTTCACTGGTCCTCAGTTTTTAACCGTGTAATTGACAAGTTGGTCTTTCATTTTTATTTTTTAAGGTTCAGCGATTGAGCGGGGGAGGAGAGAGTGTTTTTTTTTCACCCAGCTTCGTATCCCTGCACTTTTGTTTTTTTAAGTTTCCAATTTCACCCGACATGTTTCCGTCGGGTTTTATTCATGACCTCCATCTGGAAATAATATATGTTCATGAAAACAAGCCATCAGCGATTCTAGGTAAGAGTTTGTGTGTGCGCAAGCGAGAGCAGGGCGGGAGACATTAGGGGTCCCTTCTGTAGGGTCGAGGCTCAACCCATGTAACAGTGTTTAGTGCAGCGAGAAAGACATGTATGAGTATGAGCCTGAGAACCAAAAGCCTCCAACCTCCTCTCTTAAAACCCCGTTGCTACGCATTTGTGGTCTGGCTTAAGTCTTTGATTCAAATGCAAAGTTAGCCATCAGATGTAACAAACCACAGTTGCCGGTAGAAATGACGTGTTAAGCAGGTCTTTGGCTAAATGCTTGACCTTTGCTCAGCCTAAAAATATGCATTAGCTCAGTGAAAGCTGGCACAGTTCTGCAGGAAAGAAGATCTGCTTAGTGTTTAAGTTGCTCGGAGCGTACATGCGGCCTGTGACGGGAGAGATAGAGCAGATATTCATTGACTCCAGGCTCACAGAACACTCCTGTGCCTGTCTGCCGCCTTGGCCGCGGCCCGCCGGTCACACCTGAGAGCCTCTGAAGAGTAGCCAGACATTTAGCCGGGCCCGTCCCGGGCACAGAGGCTTCTTAGTTTGCGGGTCGTTGTCTGTATATCTAACTGCTTAACTAACTATTTGCTTGTCTGCCTGAAGCTGATACGATCTCCTTTAGAGCCATAATGGCTTTAGCAGGCCCCCGAAGGAAAGAGAGCGAGTAGGTGTGTGTGAGGAGAGGTTTTCATTTCTGGCTGTCTGTGGTAAGAGGGGTAACGGGAGGAGGAGGGGGGTTGGGTTGGCTGGATCATGTTTTAAAAGCCCTAAAGTTAACCCCAGTCAAAAGGTTTATGCCAACCGCTAAAGCCGCAGAGGCATCTTGAAAGGTGTAACAGCTCTGCGTCGTATCCAGTGACATCTACATGGGACCCACTGCAGTTTCCTGTTCATATTGTGCAGCTGATTACTGCAGCGTCCAGACTGCAATAAGTGAAGGCTTAGAAAGCTTTGTTGAATGTATTTATTTATTTAGGTGTTTTTTTTTCCCCCCCACTGAAAGTCTGTGTTTGGCTAGTCTCACTATCGTGGTATTGCAAACCCCCTCCTCGGTTATGAGATCCCCACATGTTCTGCTGCCCTGCATTCCCTCCCACTACAGCTCAGCAGCAGTCTGGGTCATTTTTCTTTTGAACCTCCCCACCCACCCCCCCACCTTTCTTCCTCACCAGTCCATCCATCATACAGAGAGGAACCTCCTTTCGCCCCCCACCCACCCCCCACCGTTGCTGGCTGCCCGCCCCCCCCCTCATTGGTTTCAAAATGCTCCAAAAAAAAAGCTTCAGGAGCCAAAACCTCCACAGTTCTACTATTAATTGCGGGCCCCCGCCGCCGTTCAAGTCCGGTCCATACATAGGTTTCACCCTCATCGGAGTATCTCCCTTCCACTGACCCCGTCTTCTTTCCAAGGTCACAGCCCCCAATCTCCGTGAAAGGATGTGGAGTGATCCCTTTGTCTTCTCAACCGGGCTAAGAACCTAAGGGTCAGCGCTGCCGAGGACCAGGAACTGTGTGTGTGTGTGTGTGTGTGTGTGTGTGTGTGCGACTAAAACTGCTTTTTCGACTCCAAGCTGCTGCCTTTTGTTGCATGCTCTGGAATCCCCTCCGTCACACCTCGGCCATTTCTCGGCGGGGGACCGCTGCCCCCAGCAGGAAGACTTCCCTCTTTTACAGTTAATCCTTAACCGGAAATACACCACGACCCCCCCCCCCCCAACCCCCGCTCCCCCTCTGAGTCACACAATTACATGCAGTTCATTGCATTTAGGAAGAATAATTATAAAACCGAAATGAAAGGTTTTTACAATTCCTTCAAACAGGGTTAGCCTATATGCTGCACTGAATTCTGGACATTAAATTGACCAACATTTAACAGACATATGCAGATACATAACTGTATGAGAAGAGGAAAAAAGCCATTTATCTTTCTATTTTTTATTTGTAAATATACAGTATTATGTATATAGTCTTAATGTGGGCATCCCCACGCGTTACCACATTTCTGAATAATTAAAAATCATGAACGCCACAGAGACACAAAGATGATTAACTGATAGTTGTGTTCTCTCTTCTTTGGCACAACGCATTTCAGTCTGATAGAGACCGTATAGAGCAGTGCCTTGTAATCAGTGCAGGTTCAGCTGCATCGTGCAGGCAGTTGAACCCGGGGAAGCTGTGAGGAGATTCTCTCTGCCACAAGTCCCCAATTAGGGCTCTGCCCACACAGCCATAAAACAGTTAGTGGAATCATTCAGAGGCTGTTAGATTTAGCACTATTAAGAGTTCATTAGTACCTGCACACACAACTGCTCCTGCCATGGGAGGGCCGTTAACATAAACCTGTTAAAGTATATGCCAGAGGCCTTTTCACTCATCTTAATTAAGCTATGTAAATAATGTAGATATATTGTGTCTGAGGAGA